GAACTCAGATGCCCTCGCTAAGCGCCCTGCCTGCTTGTATGGCAGAGAGAGCCCCAGAGAAGACATGTGGAACTTGGGAAGCAGAACCTGTTATAGATCCTGTTCCAGCTTCCATTGGATCTTGACATCGAATGAGCCGTCCTCGCCTCGATCGCCGGTTCTGAACACTGCAGCTTGTTGAGCGTTAAAATGTGCGGCTGCAGTCTCGCTTCCGACGGTGAGAATGCCATGGTTGAAGTCGTAGTTGGTACTGCGGATTCGGAGACGCACATGGAGGTCGGCGTGGGCAGGAAGCCTGTAGTTAGTTCCCACGGAGACCACAATGGTAACCGAACCGTCACGCGCCGTGTCTACCCGTAAGGCGACTCTGTTGTCCGGTGTATCCACATAAAGAGGATGAGGAGCGGGAACAGTGGGAACGGCAGGAGGCCGGAACGTGTGCGATGACCAGGGATCGCTGGGAAGATGGAAAGGGTGGCAGAAGGGAAAGCAAAACTTGAGTTCTGAATCGATAGTAGAGCTTTCAGGAGGTTCGGGGGTGTTAAGTTCCGTGGTGCTTGGTTCGGGGGTGGTCTGCGGAATCGGGGATGCCACAATACTCCAAATAAGGAGAAATCCAAACAAGTTCCGAAGAAGGTTGCGAGACAACATGGCGGTGTGCTTCAGTATGGTCTTTCAAGGAATTGAGATTGTCGATGCGTGAGTATCATGCTGGACGAGGGGCTAGAACTCATGTGGCGAGCGGACCATCGGTCTTCATATAGTTTCTTTGAATTTCTGCAATGTGGCTCTGTTCCGGTCAGTTCAACTACCTTATAGTGAACTTTGGTTATCATCAAGGTAATCGAAACCTCGAAATTACACTCTGCGGAGATTTCCGGATATGTTCCGGCCTCTCATATTAGCTAGCCCGTACCCATCCCTTGTACTGCGGCATCCGCGCCTTGGCCTCCACAAGGGTGGGTTCTTGAGAGAGTGGCGAGGCCCAGTTACTGGTTCGAGACTGTGTGTCAACTGAAGCGAAAGGTTCTCTCAACGAAGAGTGCCATGGACGGAAAGTTCGTAGTGACTGGCTTTCGCGCAAAGTTAGACGAAGCCGGATGAGTTGATATCTACCTTAGATTTCGTGAGGGTCATAGAAGAATGATCCTAAGCTATAGGCCATAGAGAAGGGTGATGAATGGGTTCTGTCCTGTGTTCTATGAGGAGATTATCTAATCCACTATCCTAGAATAAATAATCTCTCTTTAAAAGCTAGTAATGAAAGCCCCGGAATATCTTTTCACTAGGTACGCTACATTTGGAAACAGCTTTTGGTGGTAAAGGAAATATCCAAAGTTTGCCTGGACGACTACTCGCAGCCTCTTCGCGTCACTCTGCAAATGGCCCTCGTTAACTTGCTAGCACACTCCGCCGGTATGGTAATCAGGAAGGCGGCATGGTAGATGTCGGACTGTCGGCAACAGAGGGCGCACCGCATCTGGCTGGTCCTGATTCAGTAATCGGATTGTTGAGAGGTACCTTTTGACGCGAGAATTCATACACGTCACCCTTCTCCGCAACGCCATTCACTCATCCATTCTGGTACGCGTCAGGATAGTCAAGTTTTTCCTGTATTCGCGTGCCAAGGAAATGAGAACATATACAGGGTCCACCTCTGACGAGGGGGACGCAAGCAGGTGGCGCAACAGCACGCCGCTCACGGGGTGACATGGCTACCCCCATTTCTCGAGTCGGAGAGCAAGCTGGACGCTCGAGCTGTGTTTTGTCGCATGCTCGGCGTCGGCAATGCCTATCACGGCGCACAGGCGCGTGCCGTGAGCGATGACTACAGGGTCTGCCTTGCTTTGACAATTCTTCTTCCGAACCTTCTTCCGTTACCTTCTCCTCCACGCTCAGCGGTATATGTACACCAGTGTGCACCAGCTACCTCAGCCCAGCCTACTGGGTACAAAACCTCTGCAGCCCTGTGGGGTTTGTGTCTGTGCTGAAGTATGCCCGGTACGACGATCTCGACAAGGTGCGCGGCTCAAGAGCGAGGCACGCTGCCGCTCTTTGTCCATGAAACGGGACCGCACTCTGCCCTAGCTACAGTCTCATCAAGCAGTCCAAAGCAACCCGCGGGCTGTTGCGAGGAACGGAGTACTTGTCTGTCTTCTCGCGTGGCCGTGACGCATACAGACTGCGCGACGGTCTGGACCAGGTGGATTTCAAAGAGTCCGGAGCATCCTCGTCTACTGAAAAGCCTACTTGCGGGTTACATGTAACAAGTTCCGATGACGGCGCTTGTTCCTGTACGCCATTATCTCCAGCCCCGTTGCGCATGGTGGGGTCTCGGAATTACGCATGTCCGACAGCACTTGGGCCGATGCGCAACACAGGGGGCCGGCGACTCTACGCGCGCAAGGTCATCTGCGGCCGCTGTACCGCCCCTTACAGCAACCTGTGCTAATGGATCCAGTAGGCAAGGATGAGGTGGACGTCAAGATACGAGCGTGCCGTCGCCTCGCTGACGCTGGTGGACTTGAAGACCGTCTCTAGAAGCCTGTCTGCGCAGTGCGTGCATTCCAGGACCTATACTGGCGACATGGCCAACCACCCGGCCCAGGAGCGTATATTGCAGGATATCTCAAACCAATATGCCGCCTCTTCACGGCGTCATTCTTGGTGCCATGCGGCTCGTTCACTCTGTCTTTCGCAAGGATGAGCTTTGCGCAAAGGGCCAATGCGACGTGGCTTAAGGTCCAGGGGATGATCCCCCCTTTCTTGCGCGTAGTGTCGTCTCTCAGCCAGCATCCGAAGCTTGAATCTGCACCCTAGAACGATGCAGCTGACTGGCGACGGACCTGGAAAGCAAGCGTAGTATGTTTGAGCTGATCAGCACCGCGAGCATAGCGAGTAGGTTCATGCTGGTCATGGTGGAGCCGATGAGCAGGGCGTGCGAAGCGTAAGGTAGCCAGCTTGTTCCCTGTTAGGAACCCCAGAGGGCTGGAAAGGAGAAGCCATTTTCGGTGTGAACTGGGGACGTTGTACCAACGAAACCATAGTAGAGATGAAGGGATACAGAGGGCATCTAGAGACCAACGAAGGGATATGGTAGAAAGAGAGAGAAGTACGATGAGAGAAAGGGGTCAAGGGCATCGATTATTCTGCAAAATATCAGGAGACTTGAGCCGCTGCTGTAGCCCCCTTCTCGACAAGGACCCTACCGCCTACGTGTCGAGTGAGGTAGACAGGTAGACGCAAGGGAAGAGAGAGAGAGAAAACGCGACACAAATACGCTTATATGAGATTGCTGATCGTGTTCGATGAATATTTGACCGACTCCCCAAGGAAACAACAGAGCAGGCGGCTCGAATAGTGGAGTGTCTTCAGTCTGAGCTTGTTGTTGTGTTGGATCATACGAATCATACCATGCCGAAATCTGTTTTGACCTGTCTTTCGGGCAATTGACCCAACAGCTAACACCAAAAAAAGTCATGGGCTACGTGAGAATACACTGGGCTCACTGCCCCGACCGAGATCAGGTGAGGGCAGTACCAGCTCAGGCTTCACATCCAACGTAGCCTCAGGGCAAGAGGTCGGAGATGATGACTACCTAGGTATGTATAGTACCTGCGTCAGAGCGTAAGATGAACAGAGCGAAGCGGTCTTCCACACGTCATATCCGCAGCCACTTAGTAGTGATGAGATAAGAGCACATCTGAATTCTGGCTCTCCGCAGCTACGAGGGCCCTCGACAGCCTGATATACGCACTCTCGCAGTCCCCAGGCCCTAATTGACACCCTTACTCGTGGTTCCATAGGTGCCTCCTGACAACTCGGCAGTTGAGTGACAAATACTAAGTCGCACTGTGGAAAACTACATAAAGGCGAAGTAGCTTTGATCCGTGTTCTCACGTCTCGCAGAGGTTCAATGCTATCAAATCCGGTATGATAAGGAAAAAGCATACCCGGAGATTTCGTTCGGAAATCTCAGAGTATTTTGTACAGATTTGAGTTCTTGAGAGGCTTCGGAAGTTGAGGTTCGAGTTAGACGATATTTGTTAGGCGGTTTCTGTCAGGTGGCCCTGCGGAGGCATCAACCAGGGGGCCGGATAGGGGGCTAAGGGACACGGAAAATGTGTATATAAGGACTGCGGAGGGCTACACAAGCTGCGGATGGCCGGTTTTCAGATGCGGTACATCCCCATACCTATTATCTGTTGCCTGCGCACTACGTGTGGAAGACCTCTTCACTCTGCCCCAAACCAAGCACTGACAGTTTCAGAGCGTAGCATTTTCTGCAAGTACGCTGAACACTCAGACGAGACGCCGAGCATGGGGAGCAAGTAGGTTTCGAATGCGGTATCCGTACCATGCCGATTAGGAGCGTGAGAATTGACCCTCGCAACCTCGATGCCCAAAGAACCTCTTTCTGTCTCAAAACTTTTGCCTGCAACCATGTGGCATTTGATATGTAGCTACGTGACCTCACATGTCGCATCCAGGCATAGTGTACAACAGGGAGACCACGGCATTTCTCTATTTCGTCGAGATGACCATGCATGTACGTAGTTGCTCCTCAAATGACAAAGGGTGCAGACTGGTGTCTAAAAAGTTGTTTCTCATCTCGTTTTCCACGGCCGACCATCTGCTGCCGCGAGCTCCCGTCTGAGACCGTGCCCGTCATGGAGCATGGCACATCAATAGCCTCGCCAATGGACTCTTACTGGGCTGTCCTCGCCTCTACCTACCTACCTCAAGGTAAGGTACAAACCATCCCTGTGCATGTCCCGAGCCTATCATGGATAGTACGATATGCATCCATCACTCCCTGTCGCCAATTCTCCTGTCAAATATACTAGATTCACAGAGATAGACTGCCATTTGAACAATGGACAAATAGTGCCAGTATATTTTGAAAGGTCAAGTTGGTTCAATAATGCCCCCTCGACGGGTCAACACTCGGACCTATGAACGGCTACAAGCTTCAACACATCGCAATGCACCCTCGTCTTTCATCCAACCTGCTGCTCCTCCGCGATCCCGCCCCGACTCCACGCCCCGACGCGCGCCTGATCACACGTCTCCCAGACCCGCCTCCGCAGCGCCCTGCACAGCGCCGCCTCGTCGCCGCCCGCGCCCGCCTCCTGCGCCGCCAACCAGCTGACGACGCCGAACCGCGTCGCGAGCGTCGTGCTGCCGCCGTCGACGCACGTGGCGCGGTACACGATGCGCAGCACGCGCGTCGTCAGGTTCGTCCGTAGGTACGGGTTCGCCGCCAGCGCGAGGATCTTCTCGAACCACTTGCGGTGGTGCAGCACGGCGACGTCGCCGGGCGCGCGGAGGCCGTCGAGGAGGTACTGCAGCAGCCACGTCAGCTCGGCGTAGTACCTGTCGTCCTCGGACGGCGCGCCGTGCAGAATGTCGTGCGCGAGCGGCACCTTGTCCAGCGCCCAGAGGGGCGCGCGCGTCAGGTACGTGTTGACCTTGGCGTAGAGGCAGTGCAGCGGGTTCTTCAAGATGTCTAGGCTGTGCAGCGCGAACGCCACGAGCGGGGACGCGACGGGGCCGGCGCCGACGAGGGGCCGCGAAGACTCGGCGAGCTCCGAGAGAAGGAGCCAGAGCTGGTCCTTTTCTTCGTACGACGACTCTTTGAGCTTGGCCGCGAGCTTGAGAATGTTGGTGAGCGCTTCTTGCCGGATGCTCGTGTGCGGCGACCAGAGGAGGCGGATGAGGGCGGGTATGTAGTCACCGTCGATGAGGTCGTCGACCGTCTTCGACGCCCACTTGAGGAGGGCCGAGTTGTCTTCTTCGGGCTCAAAGCTGACGTGGAGAGCTGCTTCGAGGGCCGCGTCGTCAAGCTCCTTGACGGCGGTCTGGCCTGTCGTCGTGGGCGTGGGCCTGGAGACGGCCGTCCCGCTGTGGCCGTTCGCTGTCGCCAGATCGCCCTCGAGCAGGGCGCCCTTGAACTTAGCCTTGACCTGTGACGTTGTACCGGCGAAAGCCTTGTTGAATCGTTGCGCCAGCAGGTCGATGATGGCGGGGTCCTCGTTCGCCGCCTTGGCATAACCGAGAAGTGATGATAACACCTTGGCAAAGAGCTCAACAACATCAGCACTAGCCTCCTTGACGGCAAAGGGTATTTGCTCCGCCATGGTCACCAGAAGCAAGCTGATGGGGCCCCATTCTGCGGTCTGTCCCTCGCTCGCAATCTCCTCCATCAACTCCACATATTTAAGGGGCGAGCCGGCACACCTGTTGGCGCAGTTGTCGAGAAAGACCCAAAACGGCTTGAGGTCCTTCTTGCGCAGCTCTTGCGGCGTGCGGAACAGGAGGCCCAACCCAGTCGGCGCCTGGACAAGCTGGTTCTGCGTCGCGACGAACTGGAGCACCTCCTTCAGCTTGGTCAGCGCATGGCCCTGGCTGGACGTGACGTAGACACGGAGGAGAGCAACGAAGGGCGAGGCGGCGAGGGCCTCGGATTTGGCGAACCACCTCATGCCGGGGGAGTAGCCGGCAATGGCGAGCAGGTTCTCGAGCTCCATGAGACCGAGCGCCTTTTCTTGCTCGTTCTCTTTCTGCTCGTCCAGTCGGCGGAGGGCGTTCAAGAGGAAGGGCGAGACGTCAAAGTTGGCCATGAGCGCCATTTGGGGAATAATCTCGTAGTACAGCAGCAGCAGGCGGCTCGTCGCCTCCCTCTGCAGGACGTTCGCCTCGGGAATGGTCTTGTAGCATTTTGTGACCTCCTTCATGTCCGGTATCCTCTGGCAAAACTCGTCCACGAGCTTGCGCGCCGCCGAGTCCCATATCGTCTTGTTCGTGCCCGCTGCTTCCCTGTGCATGTGCAGCGCCCGGTCCAATTTCTGTAACGCGAGGACCAGGATGCGTACGGCAAAGAAGGAAATGAGATGTGCGTCGTGCGAGAGGCTCCTGATGAGGTCCTTTTGTTTCAGCGGCAACGGCATAATGTTGTCGAGCAGCACCATGGTCGGCGGGGGGACGCGGCGATAGCCAGATCGGTTGCCAAAGTACCTGGGGATCGGAAGCTGCACCGTGTTGAAGAGAAAGGCCGCGTAGCCGATCCAGGTCATGGAGAGCTTGGGTTCAAAGGAGAAGGACTTGTTGGCGAGGAAGTAGCTGGCGACGAGCTCGGGCGCCGCCTCGAACACGGACACGAGCAGCTCGCTGTGTCGCAGGCTCGACCAGGGGCGCATCTTCTGTATGAACTCGTCGAGCACAAAGTTGGCCACGGGCACCTCCTCCGTGTACCTGTCCACCCAGGCGGCGCGCTCAAAGGCAAAGTCGTCCGTGTCCTTGACGTCCTGTGTGGCCTCGTCGTCCAGGTCCTTGGGGTACATACCCGTGCCCGTATACAGGATACCGGCGCCGGGGGTCGTGCAGACGTAGGTCAGGAAGCGGTGCACGGCGTCCTTGACCGTCAGGCGGCCCTCGACCTCGTCGTCGTGCTTGTAGTAGTAGAGGCCCGCCAGGCGGTCGAGCGTCTTGGTGTTGAAGGCCTTGAACTTGGCCTCGCGGGGCACCTTGTCGTCGGCGAGGACGTGTTTCCTCAGAGCCTCGAGCATCTCGACGAGGAGGTAGGCCGGATCGTCCTTGAGCAGGAAGGTCAGGTGGGACATGACCTCCTTCTGCAGGAGCAGTTCCTTCTTGGCGTCCGACGGCAGGAACTTCAAGCTCGTCAAGAACAGCTTGATGGCGTTTGTGCGGACCGAAGGCTTGGCGGGGTCCTCGGGCCCGGCCTCGAGCGAGTTCCGGACCTCGAGGTTCCGCGCAAACGAGGCAAACGTGTAGTCGCGGGCGCGGAACACCTTCTTGGCGAGCGCACCGCCGTCGATGGACGCCACCTCGCGTAGCAGGCGCATCGTGGGCGAGATGATGTAGCCGCTGCTCTTCGACGCCGAGAGGTTTCGCGAGATGAGCTTGAGATGGCGGTCCTGGAGCAGGGTCTGGCCGATGCCGGTCGCGTGGGGGAGGAGCTCGAGGGAGCTCGAGACGACCTGCAGCAGCAGCGCCAGCACGGCAGGGACGGCCGCCGTGATGCTCTCGTTGTGAATGCCCGAAGCGTAGCCCCACATCTCCATGAGGTCGGTCTGGTAGACGGTCGCTTCGGTGAAGATTCGCGGCTTCGTCGACTCGAGGTATTCGGACAGGATGGCGAAGCGGTCATGGTTCTCGCTAGGGGTGGCGCTGAAGCTGTCGAGGAAGACTTTGAAGGATTGAATGCCTAGCGGTATTTGGGTCAGCCAATTGATCGTAGCCATGAAACACTAACATCATGGCGCATCACATCGTACCATGCCTCGCGCGCTTGACGTCCTGGTCAAAGGCAAGCAGCTGCCTCAGCTGCCTCGCATTGTTGACGTCCTCATGGGTCGGTGTTTCGACAACTATCCTCTGGCGCTTGCGGCCGGCAGAAGCGGCGTCGGCGTCACGAAGCTGTCGCTTGACCATCGTCGGTAGTCTACCTTGAAGAAAAAGGTATGCACGTTGGTTCAAATATTCTATAGACGCCCTCGGACAACCAACTGGTGATGGAGCTTGGGCAAGAGCGACCGTCCAGAAAATAAAAAGTTCTGCCTCGCGAGACCGCTTGCGATAAGCCGAGTCGAGCTTAGCGGGGCGGGTAACAGAGGGGCAGCCAGCCTGGACTGGTGGGGCCATGTCGGCCCCTCCAAACGTCACTCTCTGCCGGCGTCTGCATCTTCGATAGCTTTCTCTTCCCTGCCTCAACTTCAAGTACGACGCGATAAGTCGCCATCACCGCGCGAACCTCGACTCGAAGACAATCCGAACGCATTCTCTGCACTCTCTTCTCGCTTCGCCACTTACCACACCATGGGCTCCGTCGTCCTGACCCACCTCAACAGCGGCTGGCACGTCGTATGTTTCCTTCCCCCTCCTCTCTCCTCCTCCTCAACTAGCTGTTAACATATCTCTTCCCGGCCTCAGGACCAAGCCATCCTCTCCGAAGAAGAGCGCCTCGTCGTCATCCGCTTCGGCCGCGACTGGGACCCGGCCTGCATGCGCCAGGACGAGGTCCTCTACCGCATCCAGGACCGCGTCAAGAACTTCGCCGTCTGCTACGTCTGCGACATTGACCAGGTCCCCGACTTCAACCAGCTCTACGAGCTCTACGACCCCTGCACCGTCATGTTCTTCTTCCGCAACAAGCACATGATGGTCGACTTTGGCACCGGCGACAACAACAAGCTCAACTGGGTCCTCGAGGACAAGCAGGAGCTCATTGACATTATCGAGACGGTCTACCGCGGCGCCAAGAAGGGCAGGGGTCTCGTCGTCAGCCCCAAGGATTACTCGACGCGGCATCGCTACTAGTTGTGCTTTCTCCCACTCCTCCCCCTCTTCCCACCCTTCCTTCTGCGTCGTGCTTCACCTCTTTTTTTTTTTTTTTTTTTTTTTTTTTTTTTTTTTTTTTTTGGCGTTCTCTCGTGGCTGTCCTGGCCAAGGCTCTGCGAAGCGACGGATCCCACTTCAGCGTTAGTCCTACTTTCATACACAATGTCACATCATGTCCAAGAACAGAAGCAGAGCTGATACGCCTCCAAGACGTGTGGTGAATAATCATCTGATTTCTTGACGACCAAAAGGTACGCCTTGCCAACTCCAACGCCCCCGAGGCTATCATTCGTAAAATCGCACCTACATACGCAGTCGGGCCCTGTTCGACTGACCCCACCGACGCCCACGTGGGGCCACCTTTCTCTGACCTCGCCTTGTCCCACCATCATCCGCAATACGATCTGTAGTCTACCGCCGTGCTGATGCACCCTCTTTTCTCTTCGCCTTGCTTCGGGACACGACACCTCCCGCAATATGTATCCCCTAGATCTTATCGCTGCCGGGCTGCTGTATCGACTTCGGCGAGAAGAGCCCCGCCGGCAACTTGGGCATCGGCGCTGAGGGTGCTGTCCGCTCGCGGAAGAGCTCGCGTGCGCGGTCCCCCTCGCGCGAACGACCGCCCGTCAGCCGCCGCATACCCGTCCGCGTGCTCTGCGCCAGGGGCCTGATCATGCTCTCCAGCGAGAACGAACTCTCGCCATTCCCAGTGTTGGGCCGCTCATCGTCCGCGTCAGAGAAGACATCCTCGGTGTACTCATCGTCCGACGTGAACTCGCTGATGTGCGGATAGTAGGAAGCCGGCGCCGACGGAGACGTGATGGACCGCGCGTGAAGCCCCGGTCGCGGCGCGGCGCTGGCACTGAACGCGCCCGGGTTCATCGTGTTGGCCGAGCTCTGCGTCGACAACGGCGGTGGCCGGTCCGTGAAGCCGTTTTGGAAAGTCGAATTGTCAGACGCCTGGTGCAGGATGGGCAAAATCTGCTCGTCATAGAGCTGAGCTCCAGACTCGTATGCATCGGGCGAGAACTCGGTGACCGTCCGAGAAGATCGACCCTCGCTGGGCGGCGGGCTAGCTCCGAGATCATCGAAAAAGTCGTCTAGGCTGTCGAGCTTGTTCACTATGTCACCCATGTTACCGTGTCCATGGGCGTCGTCCGACATCATCGTCTCCGTCCGATCCGGCAGGTGGAAGTAGCCGTACGGGAAATCCTCGGCATGGAACTCGACGTCGGGCGTGGGCGTCGCGTCGGCCAGCATGCCTTCGGCGTTTTGACACATGTAAAAGGCAGCGTGGATATTGGCCCGCGTCGAATCCGTCTTTTTCGCCGGGACGGGGATCGCCCAGCCAGATGCTTCGGGGATGCCGAATAAGCTCTGCATCCGCCCATACTCTTTGCGAACCGTCTTGGACGTCGACCGCGTCATGCTCATCCGGAGATGCTGATTGTCCATCGCGCTGCCCGACATGGTCATGATATTGTCCAACACCTCCAGCGCCTCCATGCAGTACTCGGTTTGAAGCAGGCGCAGCAGTGGAGAGATCAGATCAGAACCGTGACCGGCCAACTCGGGTCTCCTCATATCGATCTCCGGGATGACAGTGCTTAGAATGCTCATCGTCTTGATCTTGACCCACGAGATGGAGTTGGTGAGCAGCCCCATCAAGAAGACAACCATATTGAACTCCAACTTGGGCAGAAAATGATCCCTCAGCGCACTGAACAACTGGACCTGGAATTCCCGCGTGTCAATATGGTGCTTGAAGGCGATGTACTCCTCGAGGACCTCCGCGATGTTGCCGTACCCCTGATCCTCCGCCACGGTGCAGAGAACCTCGGCCGCTTGGAGACATTGTTCGCTTGGTGTCTCCTGCTCCATCTCATGCAGCAGCATCGGAAAGTAGGCCAGGATGACGTAGAATAGCCGACTATCGTCACCGACTAGGTTGTCGCTCGGCAGCTGGACCAACTTGGTCATGATAGTGAGGGTCGTGTCCATGCAAACCGAGGATCGGAGGCCCTTGTAGAGAAGAGCCTGCAAGCCCTCAAAAGCGCCATCCCAACGCGAGGGCTGGCCGTCGGACAGCATTCTCCGTACGTTGGGTGACTGGAAGTCAATCTTGGCCAGGAACTCGTTCAACATTTCAACTGCCTCCAGGAATTCGCGCTCATTGATTGATTCGAGACAGGCGCATGTCGTCCAAAACAGTTGTGGGAATGTCAGAAGCTTTTCAGCATCAAGCTTGACGATGAGTGTCTTGAGGGTCGTCAAAATCTCCATAGAAAAGGTTTGGATCTCGGAATCTTCGTCTGCGATGGTGTTGGACAAGCGAGCAAGCATGTCACCCAGCATGAATTGGTCCAAGGACGTAAGAACGCAGCGGAAGATTTGGAAGGATCGGCAGGCGAGATGTCGCACGGGGCATGAGGTAGCCCAGGTCAGCGACAGCCGACCCCATTGCTCCTTGATGCCAGGGTATGTCATCTCAAACGTCTTGACAACTTCAGTTGTCAAGTACTCCATGCTTGCCGGGACCTTGTTGTCGTGGGTTTCGGCTTTTCCGTTGCTGTCCTCGTAACCCCAGACGACGCTGCGATCGTGCTGGCGGATGAGATCGATCATGTTCTCAATGGACTCTCTGGCGCTGGCTGGCGTTTGCTCGTCTAGTTGGGAGATGACTAGTTCGTGGATCAAATGTATAAGCATCTCTCGAGCCTGTTCCTGGACTAGTGGCGTGTAATGATCCCAGAGAACGGTGACCACTTGGAGGAGAACCGGCACGTTCTCTGGCGTCAGTTGTATCGGTGAGACCATGAGGTCGACCAAGAGTATCATGGACAGCTGGCCCAGAGAGAATCCAGCCTGCTTTGTACCGATCGGCAAGGCCTCGCTCAAGTCGGCACAGTATGGAAGCTGAACAATATCCGGTGGCGGCGATGCAATTTCCTTCTTCTCGTTGGGCACCATGGCCTTGGGGGTGATCTGCATGAGAAGGAACTCAACGACCTTGATGCCGGGAGTACTCGTCGTGCTTGCCAAGAAAACAACGATTTGCTTGGCGTACTCGACAAAGTTCTGCTCCCGCCGTTCGAGGCATAAAGAAATGATGAAGTCAAGGATCAATCTGACGTTGCCAGGGTATGGGCCCGTGGCGAGTGCCTGCCAAAGCGCCTGCACCTCGTTGTGCAAGGCACCGCTCGATTTGATCGTGATTTCGAGTAAGTTGGCCAAGAGAACGTACGATTCGGCGATAGGACCGCCATTGGGATCCACCTTCAACTCTATCGACTGAATCCAGGGCAGAAGGACTGCTACGACGTTGCGCTGTGAGGCAGGCTGTAGGTCCTTGAAGTAGAGGGTGAATTCTGAGAAGATGTGGAAGGCCAGTTCTGTGTGCTGCTTCGACAGCCGCTTTGATATTTCGAACTGGGCGTTCTTGTACACCGCCTTCGTCTTGTCCGAAATACTTATGTCATAATCCTGTATCTTGGAGCTTCGAGCGGGCTGCTGCCGTTCCTCCAGGGCTCGGAGGACACGGGCAGACTTGGACCGGATCTCGCTCTCATCGTTACCAAGAGTGAAGAGACAGAGGCTGAGCAGTTTCCAGAAGGGGGAAGGGTAGTCAGGGTACTCCAAGAGTACTTGCGTGACCACAGCAAAATAGCTCTCGAGAACTTTCGGCACATCCGACAAGTAACACCGAGCAATGCAGCCCTGTTCGAGGAGGTAAGGGTACTCCTGGTTGTGCGTGATCAGGTTCTGCAGCGCCCGCCGGCCGATGACGTTCATACGGTCACTGCCAGAGTTGAAAATGGCCTCGATCCAAGCAAGCATTCGACGCAGATCGAATTGCAGTGTTGCACCACTCTCCGTCGTGATACTCATAGGCCCGCCGCACAGGGCGGCCATGGCGCTGAGTGCTGCCGTGCGGAGATTGCGCTTCTCGATTTCCATGGCCGCGGTCACGGTCCCTCGCTCGCCATGGGATTGCTGATCGATCAGAGACTGTCTCATAGTGTCTTCCCTGGCCCTGATTTGGTTTTGATTTGGTGAGAAGCCGCACCAGTCTTCCATGAGAGAAAACGCAGATTTTCTAGACTCAAACGTCATCCACCTGGAGGGGTCTGACGTCCGATTGATACCATCAAAAAGCTCTTCCATGAGTCCACAGTAATGGCGACGTAGCTTTTGAAATTCCCAGTCCATCTGGACTTCGCCGTCCATAAGAAAAAGCTTAAGGTCTCTGGTGTAGTTGACCAGATTGTTCAAAACCCATTCGTCTTGGTAGAGATCAGGCTCCTTCAGGAAGTGCGACGTGAGTTTGTAAATATGCGTGATCTCGGTCCGCAAGAGGTCCATCTTTCTATTCCGTCGAGGGCTGCTGTTGGTGCGCTGGTGGATCCGAGCGCGTGCCTCGTCGTTGCACCGAGATGCCTGCCCAGCAAGTTCTTCGAGAAGTGGCCTGTAAATGTGCTTGTTGATGGAACCCATGGCGAGAACCACAGCATCGCGGACAGAGGCGGAAGACGCCGAGAGAAGTGGTATGAGGTACTTGAATAGCAGACGGGCTGAAACGATCTTGTCAGCCGCGTTTGGTTTGGATGTCTTCCGATTATGCTGTGTAGCCTGGGCAGGGCTTGTCATTTGGCTACCCGTGTCGGCCAGCGTGGTACAGGCGAAGATGAGGTACAACTTCCACTGTTCAATCATAACTTCGGGCTGCGTGGTCGGCGTCCGGCTCGTGAGCCGGCCGCTTCCTGTGTCATTTCCGTAGTACAGACCCCTGGAGGGTTCGGACAGCACCGTGATACCCTTGTACATCTGCAGTATCCGGTTGCATATTAGGTCACGGCCGATGGTGACTGTGAAAAGACACTTCTCATAGGCGATGCGGATGAGGTTGGGGAAGAGTTTGAACCAGAGGGTCGTGTCGTACGACACATCGCTTGTGCAAAGTTCGACCAGGGCGCCCCGACTATTACTGTTCTGAATTCCCCTCTGCAGCCTGCTCCGTTCCGCGACGGAAAGGTGTTCGTCCTTGAAGTTCATTACTTGCATCGAGTCGTTCTCCAAAATGTCGATCACTCGCAAGTCACCATCTTCTGCACTTTTACTCTTGCCAAGCGCTGCATCAAAGTCGTTGATCAAACGCAGAACTGTGATCGCAAAATACCGTACCCTGCGAGATTGGGAGCAGAGGAAGAAGAGCCCGTGGGCCTCGGCCTGATCGACTTCGGCCCAGGTGCTGGATATGTCAAGTTTGGCACCACGCGTGTCAGTCGCGTCAGGCTGTTCGACGGATGCGTCCCGCGCCTTTTGCCTGATCTCCTCGATCCAGATTTGCAGCAGTTCGATGTACAGGCGGAGGGTACTCTCAATGTGGCCAGGGCCGAGCATGCCGCCATCAGACATTGTGGAGTACCGGTCGTCGAAGTTGAAGATAAAACGTGCAAACCCCATGATGACTTGCTGCGCGTGCAACTGTCGAGCAATGGCCTTGAGCGACCGTGCTGAGGACTGGGCAATATTGTACTGAACATGGGCAGTGCCAGTGCAGAGGAGGTTGATCAGTGAGTTGAAGGGTATGTCGGTGGAAAGACAACGCGGGAGTGCTTGAACGGCAACGTGTAAGAGCTCGTAGAAGGGTTGCTTCGAGTCGGACACTGTTTGGTGATCATCCCGTCTCGAGAATGTAAAGGTGTCGGCTATAGGGGTTTTGGGGCCCGGGCTGCTAAATTTCTCATCCAAGGTCGCTTGTCCGCCGAAAGTGTTATCGCAGTGTATCGTTATCTTGCCCAGCACCTCAGAGAACCTATAATAATACTCCCGAGCTGGATCGCTTAGCACGCTGGCATCCACGGGCCGCAGGAGCTCCTCGCTTTCGATTGGGGGGACTGTAGCTGTAGCTGAGGGCCCTTGTTGCGGTGACGGAGTCGAGGGCGAAAGAGGCATTCGCTCGGGTGTTGGTGTCGGCACATATGACACTGGAAAGGGCGGACGGCCCTGCGACCCCTTTTCGAGGTCTGACATGATGACCATGAAAGCCCGGATGCCTATGACTATGCGATCAGGGTCCAGTTGCTCCACCTTGGCCTCCCGGCCCGACAGGAATAGATCGGCATTGACGAGCGGGAAAATTATGTTTTTGAAGCAGTATTCAGGATATCTGAAACCGATGATGCGGATAATTTGTAGTAACGGGTCGATGACCGAGGCGTCAGACGCGACGAGACTGCGCCTGGCGGCTGGGAGAACGAGCCTCATCAACTCATCAAGTTTGCGAGAGGCGTTGGCCGGTGTGTCGTTGGTTCGATACAAGTAAGCCCATGCCAGCCTTGAGACGACTTGCAAACACAAAGGTCGAGCGAGTCGGTCTTTGATTTTAGTCTGTAAGGGAAGAATCAACTGCATCCACTGTGCGGCAAAGGTTTCGGGAGTCGAGACGCAAAGCATGGTTGCCGTGAGGGGGAAGGCGAAATTCCAGTGCCGGGGCTTCAAGGACATCTGAGCCGGGCGTGGGCCGATAGCTGCTAAGACTTCTGCCCACTTCGGATGGGAGAGCTCATTAGAGGTGGCCTTGGCTGCGATGGGTAGCAAGAGGACCTCGAGAACCTGACAGAAAGCAGTCTTGACCTTCTGTCCGTGAGACCGGTTGAAAAGCCTTCCGAGCTTGATCAGAAAGTCGCATGAGTTTTCCCACGCCTCGGTTGGAGCGATCTTAATCTTGAGATGCTTCATGCCACCCAGGACCAATTCGATCTTGCCCTCGGCATCGCGACCAGCCTGCGTCATGGCACTCTTGGCAGCGAGATCCTGCAAAGAGCGATCTATATCGCCAAGGAACCGCTCCGTGACACCCTTAAAGTTGATATCGCTCATGCCGCCAAGCAGCTGAGAAAAGAGATTCCAGTTGGCCAGTTTCAGCGGGCTCATGACGAGTTGATCCGTGTCGGCAATCTTCAATTGGCCAAAAATGATGCCTTCGAGCTTTTCTTCCATTTCGAGAGTCAACAATGGCAGGCTCGTCTGGCTGATGACTTGCAGCAGCACTCGGCAAAGGATATATATGGACACTGTCGAGCGACGTTCGGCGTGTGCTACGAATTCTTGTTTGGCAGCCATGGAAGCCCCTGGACTTGTCAACGGATTCTCTGTGGACGGTCCGGTCCCGGCAGACAGTGGCTGCAGCGGCTCCGTATTCCGGCGCTGTAGGGACGTTGGCGTCTTGGATTGCTGCAACTGGCCTCGGGCATCATTGGCGGCGTCGCTCTTGCTTTTCCTCCACAGCATGATCGAGTCGATGAGGGGCTTGGGTCGAGGCCGCGCGATGTGTCCGAGGGCGGCGATGATCTGGTCGAACGTCGTGTCGACCCCAGGCCCACATACGAGTTCGACCTGTGGCTCGGGGTCGAACGGCACCGTTATGCAATCGTTGAGCTTCTCCTCGGCTTGCGCAATGAACTGGTCCAGAGTCAGCACCACGGGTGAACGAATGAAGGCAGAGGTTCGAGAGGCAACGGACCTGCGTGAAGAGCACGTGCAATGCATACTCGCCCACAGTCTTTTGCTGATCCTCCTTGTTGTGCCTCGATGAGTGGGTATGGTGGTGAGCGCCATCGCGTCTGGTCTTGCTGTGCATGCGTTCAAGCTTCCTCTGAGTGGAGGTTTCGGTGGTGTTGGCGGCGGCAGGGGATGCCCTGCCGGAGCCTTGCGTAGTGCCAGACGGGGCTGTGGGTGGACGAGAAGAAGCAGACGCAGGTCCCGGTCCTATGGCGGACGCAGGACCGTCTGGCTCTTGTCGTGCCACTGCATACATGTCTGGCCGGTCGGTGGCGGAGAGGCTAGCACCAGCTGCAGCGATTATCTGCGGACTGAGGGGACTGGAAGACGAGCTGGCGAGGCTTCCATTTCGAGAGTGTTGTATGCCGTGTACGATGGAGGTCTGGCGGTGGTGGCCATACGTGCCACCCTTGGGGTCGCCGGCGCGGTGTGCGGTGTGCGAGTGCGGTAGTCGTGGCGACGACAAGGAAGGCAGAGGGCCAGCGAGCTTCTCGAGTGACGATTCCCGCGAATGGGCAACGGAACGAGCAACACTGGCGGGCAGATCGAGCGGAAAGGCGGCAGGTCTCACGGTGCGCTCCCAGTCAACGACAGAGTCTCCGCGCTCCTCGTCTTCCTCGTCGAGGGTCGTCACAGAGCGAGGCGAGAACTTTTGTGGATCCTGAAGATGGTCGGGCAGCGTCTGGGGCGGAGCTACTAAGCAGCAAGAGAAGTTGTTAGTCAAAAAAGGTACGAGGCAAGGTCGAGGAGGCCCAAGATCGCGGTCCCATGGGTTTCGATGTGCTGTGTGCGTGGTTCCCCCCTCTTGCTCTTCATTCGTCGTGAAACGCAGAACGCAACGGAAGGACGCCAGGCAGGGTGATCGGGATCGGGAAGGGGGGTGGGTGCCCAAGTAGCCTGTAGGAAGAAGGTGGCTTCGCGACGGGTGGGTGTGGAAGCAAGCGCAGGAGGATTCCCGGTGCACAGATGCTCGTAGCAGCAACCAGCAGCCAGCAGGACGGCGTCGGACGCAAGCTGATGTGGTGGACCTTGGCTCTAGGATGTTGGGGAGGACTGGGAGAAGAAAGGCAGACTAACCCATTGTCAGGTTGGACCAAGGGCCATGATCCGTCTTACGACATGTGAAGATGGTGTAGCATCACGGCCTCCCGACGGCAGTACTGCTTTGGCAAGGTGTGGTTGGAGACTCGACTGCAGCGGGTTTGGGCAGTCGAACGTAGCAAGGTTGGGTGGATGGAACGAAGGAGATCTTGCGGAGGAGGAGACAGCACCAGATCAATGAATTGATGAATGGATGATGGAGTCCAGGCCCCAGCCTCCAGTGCCTGCGGCGTCGATCACCGACGTCCAATTGGATTTTCGGCTGCTGTAAGGGTTGCCTTTCGCGGGCCTGGGAGTCCTGCAAGGGCCACCAGCGCGGACGAAGCCAGCAGGTGAAATGCCCTAACGGGGCCTAGCAGCCCGGCCGTGGGAGATCTTCTGGGGGCCCAGGACGTGTGCTGTGGCCTCCCCTGTAGGGGTTGACCCTTGGGGGAGGATGGTCGGGGGGTGGTTGAGGGGTCACTTGGTTGCTTGGGTCCTCTGGATGGGTTTTTTGAGGGGCACGACCAGGGGTCTCCGCGGCATGTACCGTCTTGATTGGCTGGTCCCTGACTTGGCCCCATCCCTTGCGCGCGACACCTGCCAGCATTGCGGGCCGCCGTCATTGGTGCCGATGGGGAAGGTCATGTCAGTCCCCAGGTGGGCAGCGGGCAGCCAGAACTCTCTCTCATCCAAAAACACAAGGCACTCAACTATGTATGCCATGGAACTTGGCATGACCCTGCACAGCGCTTGTCACCGGCCGGCGCGTGTTTGGATCTGCTTGACTTTGCAAAGTGTTTATGCTGCCAGCTCACCGGCCCCACCGTCTTCGCGATCACGAGGACGATTGCCACGACAGCCTATGGCAACTTCACGTCAGTCTTTTTTTGCCCGGTCACACGATGGCGATCTTCCACGTAGACCTCCAGGGCCTATGATTGACGACATGCTCAGGTACCGTTTGCTGAATGTAGAATCTACCAGGGGCCGCCCGGTCATGTAAGGCACGCTATCGAGGCCGCTAGTAAGGTCCAGGGCTTTGATGGTTATGGTGATGGTCGTTTGACAAGATTGGGCCTTGAGTCTGATTCAGGAACTACCTTACCTAGCAACAAGTGTTTGTCGAGTAACGCGCGAAGCCAACGACCTGGCTCCTTTTTCGGTCGTCTTTTTCTGGCCACGGTAGGGGTGGTGAGGGGGGGGGGGCTTGACGCAGATATCGGGAGATTGGCAGAGGATGGTCGGTCGGGTGATTGATTGATTGCCTGTGGACACTTCATATTACCTCCGAGATCGTCGTCGACAATTTTCCGAGACGCCGTGTTGCAGTACGGGCGGGTGGAGAGAGGGTCTCATCAGTGTGGCCCGGTGACATGGCGGATTGTGGATTGTAACGAGGGTGGACTTGTCTGCCTCTTAATATAAGAGAAGGGGAGATGGCCGGTAATAAAGCAAGCCGGAGACTGAATGCATAATTGATAATACTCAGAACGAAGTCCCGTGGCATGCATGGTTGCTTACCGACCTACCTACTTTACTATACCTAAGTTAAGGTATCCAAGGTACCAAAGTTATGGTGGCCACGGGCGATTGTCTGGCACATCAGGCAGATCAGCGTCATGGAAATCCGCCATCAAGATGAGGCATCATCTCAAAGCTATCTACGTTCCCAACACGTACATGGAAGGTAAGGTTTATCAAAATCACCATTCACGATCACGTCCAACTGTCCAACTGTCGAACATATGGCTTGAGTGGATCCATGCCTTAGCGCATGAGTAAGCTACCTTCATCATCATGCATAGCCTCAGAGCGTCGAAGGTCTCAGCTTTCTGAGAGCGGAGTATCGTGGTGTTTGAGCGGCCTGTCCAAGATGGGTCTGGCCGAGGCGATGATGGAGGGTCAGGGAGGATCAATAGTATTATTGGGAAAATACCTGCTCGATTTTTGTCTGACGTGAGAAGAGCACGGTCTGGGAGCTCACTCTAATGGTGGTGTACTTGCAGACAAGCCAGCCACAACAATACTGTAAGCGTTGCACTCGTATTCGGATTGACGAATACCTGTTGATACCACCCAGGCCAGTTCAATGCGCCACACGATGAGCCATAGGCTCCAGGTCAACCAACCAGACCAACCATCGTCCTTCTCATCTAGAAACGCTTAGATTGCCGGAGGGTTAAGCACATGTGGTGAGGCGAGGTGAGGTTGCATCTCCAGAAGGTTTCAACTGTTCGAGTGGGCTGACCTCGGCCTCGACTTTTCCCGGCAGTGCTTATCTGTTCCCGATCCAGTATCTCTATTGTGCTTGGCCGCCTTCCTTTCAAGTCCACATGCACAACTGTGGCAGATTTGATTTCCCTCTCAAAAGTTCTCTCCTCCTGTACGTAGACCAGGTAGTTTCACAACTCCGCCCCGAAAGAACACGTCTGGATTTTTTCTTTTCATTTTATTCCTTGGTCTCATCTCTCCAGTCGATAGGTAGGGTGAACACATCTGAGTAAGCGCTTTCCCCTCTCCTCTTTTTTCCATTGTCGCCAGACGCTCGGAAAGTCAGACCAAGGTACAATTGCGAGAAAAAGCCGACACAATGAGCCGATGCCGATTAGATCGTCGTCGGGGGGTTTTTAGTACGCCGGTTTCCGATTCCGAGCGGAACGCCCGACCATTCCTAGCTTGGTGTTTAGTGGGGGAAAACCTTAGTCACTGGCCTGACTCTGGTGCCAGATCTCGGTACTACCACAGTACACTTAGACTTCTTTTCGCTGACAACACGTGCGTCTCTTTCGCAGGTCGAACCGACTTTCCAGCGCTTGACCCCTCGGCCTTGACGACTGCTGCTGTCGAACCCTCTCGTCCGACAAGACAGTTTCCATAAACGTCTTTGACGACCCGACCGAAACTCTCTCGAAATTATCATCGACATACCACAACACTGCGCCTTTCAGCCGCCTGCAGCCGAGTTGCCCCTCAACACCACTGCCGAGATACCCTCGGTGCCAGAATAAGGAGACTCCCCGCCCGCCAACATGGCCGAGCTTGATACTCTGGACATCATTGTCCTGTCCGTGATTCTTCTCGGCACGGCCGCCTACTTCACCAAGGGCAAGTACTGGGCCATTGAGAAGGACCCCTACGCCAATGGTTTCGCCAGCGCCGGCGGCCCCAAGGCCGGCAAGACGCGCAACATTATCGAGAAGCTAGATGAGTCCGGCAAGAACTGTGTCATATTCTATGGATCCCAGACTGGTACCGCCGAGGACTACGCCTCCCGTCTCGCCAAGGAGGGCAAGTCTCGTTTCGGCCTCGAGACTATGGTCGCCGATCTTGAAGATTACGACTTTGATAATCTCGACGCCGTCTCCACCGACAAGGTCGTCATGTTCGTCCTGGCTACCTACGGTGAGGGTGAGCCCACCGACAACGCCGTTGAGTTTTACGAGTTTATCACGGGCGAGGACGTCTCGTTCAACGAAGCCAACGAGCCTGCTCTCGGAAACCTCAACTTCGTCGCTTTCGGCCTCGGTAACAACACGTACGAGCACTACAACTCGATGGTTCGCAATGTTACAAAGGCTCTCGAGAAGCTTGGTGCTCACCGCATCGGCGAGGCCGGCGAGGGTGACGATGGTGCCGGTACCATGGAAGAGGACTTCCTCGCCTGGAAGGAGCCAATGTGGACCGCCCTTGCTGAGAAGATGGGTCTTGAAGAGCGCGAAGCTGTCTATGAGCCCATCTTCAGCATCACGGAGCGCGAAGGCCTGACTCCTGAGTCGCCCGAGGTGTACCTTGGTGAGCCTAACAAGATGCATCTCGAGGGTGCTGCTAAGGGACCCTTCAACTCGCACAACCCTTACATTGCCCCGATTGCCGAGTCGAGAGAGCTCTTCAACGTCAAGGACCGTAATTGCCTCCACGTTGAGGTCGATGTCAGCGGCTCCAACCTCTCTTACCAGACCGGTGATCACATTGCCATCTGGCCCACGAACCCAGGCCACGAGGTCGACCTCTTCCTCGATGTCATCGGCCTCAAGGATAAGCGCCACACCGTTGTCAGCATCAAGGCCCTAGAGCCCACCGCCAAGGTTCCCTTCCCGACGCCGACTACCTACGACGCCATTGTTCGCTACCACCTCGAGATCGGAGCCCCAGTGTCCCGCCAGTTTGTTTCCACCCTGGCTGCTTTCGCCCCCAATGACACCGTTCGCGCCGAGATGACTAGACTTGGCGGTGACAAGGACTACTTCCACGAGAAGACGGGTGCCCACTACTTCAACATCTCCCGCTTCCTTTCCTCCGTGAGCGGCGGCGCTCCTTGGGCCAATATCCCCTTCTCCGCCTGGATCGAGGGCATCACCAAGCTCCAACCCCGCTACTACTCCATCTCCTCCTCCTCCCTCGTCCAGCCCAAGAAGATCTCCATCACCGCCGTGGTCGAGCGCCAGGCTATTCCTGGCCGCGAAGAAGACCCCTTCCGCGGTGTCGCCACCAACTACCTCTATGCCCTCAAGCAGAAGCAGAACGGCGACCCGAACCCCGAGATCTTTGGCCAGACATACGAAATCACTGGTCCCAGGAACAAGTACGACGGTATCCACGTGCCTGTACATGTTCGCCACTCCAACTTCAAGCTGCCTTCTGACCCCTCTCGTCCCGTCATCATGGTTGGCCCTGGCACCGGCGTCGCACCCTTCCGTGCCTTCATCCAGGAGCGTGCCAAGCAGGCCGAGGACGGCGCGACTGTCGGTCCAACACTGCTCTTCTTCGGCTGCCGCAAGTCTACCGAAGACTTCGTTTACAAGGAGGAATTCGAGGTACGTATCCTTTGTCCCCGAAGCTACACGGCAGGCCTCGATAGGCGTGCCGTGATGACGTGGCAGCAATAACTGACAGACGCAGTCGTACAAGAAGTCCCTCGGCGACAGCTTCGAACTCATCACGGCCTTTTCCCGCGAGGGCCCCAAGAAGGTCTACGTCCAGCACCGCCTGCGCGAGCGCGCCCAGCAGGTCAACGACCTCCTTCAGAAGAAGGCTTACTTCTACGTCTGTGGCGACGCCGCCAACATGGCGCGCGAGGTCAACACGTTCCTCGGCCAGATCATTGCCGAGCAGCGCGGCGTGTCCGAGGCTAAGGCTGAGGAGATTGTCAAGGGAATGCGCTCGGCGAACCAGTATCAGGTACGAATTCTTTCCATTTTCCTCCCCTGGGCCGTCGATTCGATTAGGAGGCTCGCATAAATGTGGCTTGCTTGATGCTAACTTTGCGTAGGAGGATGTCTGGTCTTAGATTGCATGCAGAGGATAGAGCCATCAGGCATTTGTCTCGTGCAGCGAAGATTTTTTTTTTCATGGTCCCCAAGCATGGCTGATGCAAGCGTGCACGTGCAGCAATCGGAAATCGAAAGGGGAGATGGGGGCTGGGGAAAGGAAAGGATAAACAAATGGACGGCCGGGCGGTTGGGCTGGGCTGGTTGTCTCGAGTTTGGCAAGGGGAGCTCACGGGCTTTCACGGCTTTGGTCTGGCATGCATAGTACATTTGGCTTACCTCGTTCACATGTAGCAAGGGTGCAAACCGTTTATACAACGATAGACTTGAATCAGCCTTTGTTTTTTTTTTCCCCTTCACCACCACTGCTCTCTTGGGTTTCAGGGAAGCACATAATTGCAAGTCAGAGGCGTCGATTCGCCATCGATCTACGGTGGACCGCGGATGAAAAACCAGGTTGGAGAGCTCGGCATTCGTCCTATCCCATTCTTCAATGAGGCTATTTGTTGGCATCAACTGTCTTCGTGGCGCTCTCGCTTGACCTCGATATGCGGATAAATAGCGATGTTTCATTGCCAGCCAGCTGGTTCCGATAGGATCGGACCCGAATCTAGCGTAGCACTGCTAGGCCGCGCCTGCGGAGGAGCAGCGGCAGGCTACTATCTAAAGAATGTGCAGATGTGACCTGTCATCTCAGCTTCGATGAGCGGTGGAAGACTTCATGGCGCCTTGAAGACGGCCATGCGGTGCGTGCAGTCGTGGCACGACTGAACTTCGTTTCTGGCCTCCCGCTCCAATCTTGGACCTGGCCCTGTCTCTTTTCATGACACACATGTGAAAGAAGTGATGATCTATGTCGGTCACCACGGACAAAGGTACGAAAACGGCGAAAACCGTTTCATGTCAGCTCGTGGCGAGGCACTTCTGTCGGACACCGCCTCATGGCCCCCTGCTGCTCTCGTGCTAGGGCCCCCAAAGGTCGTGACGCCTGCAGGGTGAGATCATGATGCATCAATCGATCTGTCTGCTGTCAAGGTGCGTGCATGTTGGATGGCAACCCGTCATCTCTGATCCTGCCAGTATGAGTTGCAGTAATGTCTCACACCCTTCTTGACCGGTGAAGAAACTGTTGGGTTAGAGTTGACCATCCAAGCGCAGGCCTCTTTGCGCACCAACTTATCTTGTCGCTGGTGCTTAGAGTCGCTCCCTCGCACAGACGGCGATGTCGTCCGTTCTTTCGGTCACATCTGGTACACCAGCTTGCTTTAAGAATGCCTGATATCTGGCATCAGTCGGACACGAAGGTCCGCCACGATTGGCGAGTGATTACTATACATCGTACTAACCGAAAGCCAGGTCTTTGGGATGGAATAGGCACAACGACGTATCGGTAAACAAAACTTTCCGTATCAAGCCGTAGCAAGTCGCTTCTAGGAGGATGTCAAGGTATGGCCACGAGATCACACCATTCCGTATTTCGTGGCTACATCGGCCACTACTGCCACTATACCAACATCTCAAGCTATTGTTGGCGTAAAACCAGCTGAGCAATGAGGGGTCATACACCACGCTTTACCGCCTGTTCAGTAATTGTTGGAGTAGCACAAGCGCTTTTTAATGCGGTGCAGGGGATGCTGGCTGCATGCTGGCTGCATGCGGGTAAAGGTGACAGGTCGCATTTTGCATCATTTCGCTTCAGAGTGTCACCTGTGGCTTTCGTGTGTATGCGTCTGCGAGAGCCTGGTGCTCGAGGTACAGACCAGACAACACAATTGCAGTTCATGAGGCGCTTGCTCGGAAATGGGACCATCAACCTGAAGATCCCTCAGTCAATGTTTCGTGCCCAGATCGTCGTCAGATCCATGCTCGATTGTGGCAGAGGTTGGATCGAGAAGAAATGTGGAGGTGGAGTGCCGGCTGGGGTGCCGAATCCGATACTCGATCTGATCTTTCAGCCTCAAAAGCCTTTTGTAACCTCGCTATGCCATTAGAAATGACCCATGCCAGTGTTTTTCGACCATGTCAGTCATGCTTGAACACGTTGGCACCTATCGCAGATGTTACCCTTGAGATGGCCAAAGTCGGGCTCCAGCGCGCCGTGCAGGTGATTGTCTTTCCTCCTATGAGCACCTTACCATACGAGAGTGATCTGACCCTCCATTAGCACCATTATTGCTTTTTCCAACCCCCTCGAAATCGAGCGTGGACCAATCCCCCTTCCTTCTGCAAGGCCCCCCTTCGGCTACCACGAACTTTGTTGTTCTCTCTCTGACGGACTCTGAGACCTCAAGACAGTAATCCACAGGGGGCCTGCACCAGGTATGAGATGGGATCCCATTGGGTCCAGAAAGTTGTCTGGCATCTGGGTGAAGCGGCACGTCCTCCATCGTGGCAGAGAAACTCGGCACCCCAACACGAGCGAGGTGCAGGTCAATCTCTGACATAGCCAGTTAGCTCACACGAGCTAGCAGTCCTCGCCAAAGGGCCTGCTTCTTCTGCCACCTAGGAATTGCCCCCCTGTTTGAGACTTGAGGCCATTGAGTGCTGGCGATTGGCGACGATGCACGGTGGAAAGACTGCCCGCATGATTGTTGGGAGCTTGGAAAGGTGACAAACCCCGCCGGAGCTGGGTCCGTTCGACCTGAAGCACCTCCACTTTCCAGAGAATGGAGGAAGGATGCTCTCCCGGGCGATGTGCTCTCCCTAACAGGTCGTCGCCAAGGCTAGCCGGCCATCTGGGCACCACAGAACTGCAGGGGCCGGGGCGTAATGCGCGGCGGTCTTCCATCAGCCAGCCGCAGTGCCGTTTCTCGAATTGGGATCCCCTGTCTCAGGCTACAGAAGAAAGTGAAGAAGAAAAGGAAGATCCCCCTCGGGAGTAGTGTTGATGAGGGCGATCGCTTGGGTGCAACATGGGCAAGGCATGGTAGAAACGCATGCCACCCTCGTGTCGGACCCTTTATAGACACCACATGTGCCTCTCTGTCAACCGTCAACTGTTCCGACCGGCTTGCTGCACTGAATCGCACGACTACCTTTTTTTTTGTGACCTATCACTACTCTATACGGCGTTCTGCTTTGAGGTGCTGAAGGAATATTCTTAGAAGCAGGTTCAGTGTGACGAAGCCGCAGCATCCATCGTTGATCAACTGGAAACGTGCATCTTCATCGGAAGATTTACCCGTTAAACTCGACCGAATCGGCACCAGGGCGAGCGATACGACGAACGACGCTGACGACGGACGACGCGTCTCCATTTAGGCATACATGACTGTTTTTGGAGTTGCTCGGTAACGAAGAGAAGGACCACGAGGCACCAGTTCCCCGAGGGAAAATAAGTGTCAACATCATCAGTTCGTCTGTCGGACGTGCTTACCCACATCTTCAACAACAAAGCACCCCAAAGATTGATGCTGCGAATGAACAGAGCAACCTACATTGGTCTCCTTACACAATCATCAGCCTACGAACTTCGACGTGTTGACGAGTAGGTTGACGCTTCTCTTAATTTCATCACACAGCGTTGTGGGTACACGCACTTACGAGTTGCAGATGAGTACATGAAAGGAAGGCACCAACACGCCTGTCGCGTCGTCTTTCCCACAACAACTGCCATAATTGTTTGAAAGCTCGCCGCTGTGATTCTGCAGAGCGGTGTTAGCACAGCATTGGAAAAGCGAGGAAAGAAGCACCGTCAAAAGCTGTCAAGAATCAAACAGCTCCTTTCGCTCTTATCACGATTCTCCGGCCTACCCTCAGGTAGCTGCTGACCGCTCGATCGATTGCCAAAATCAGCACCATAAAAACCGAGTATCCAAGAGCGTGCATCAGGAAGGCGAGTCCAGCAGGGTCTACCCAACAGCTTCATGGGGGGAAAGAAGTATCGCACCTGACCTTTCCTGTCCCTGGCATCTGGCGCCACTCCACAAGCCCAATCGTCTTCCTTCTCCTGGCTCAACGCCTCTCCTTCTTGCCCGCCATCCTGGACAGCATCCTGCCAACATACTTCCTTTCACTTCTTCTCTCTTTCATAAGGTAGGAAGCTGAAGGTGCTTTCTCAATCTGCAAGTCTCAAGCCTTGCTGGCTGACATTCTTACGAACTCATTGGTGAATCCATTGCCATCACCATTGGATTGCCATTTCCGTTGTCAGTGCCATCATCATCATCATCATCGCCGTTACCACCCCATTGCAACCAGGCACAGCCCAGTACTAGTTACTAGGTACGTCTTTCCCGGATTTGAGAGCCAGCATAATGTGCATTCGTCTTCTTTTTCATCTTGAGCCACCCCCATTGCGTGTTTTCTTTCTTCCTCCTTTCTTCACAGCATCACCGCATCCCAGGATCCCCTCTCGTTCTCTCAGCCATTCTCTTCGACTCGATTGCTCCTCCGATAGCTCGTCCTATCTTTTTTTACTGATCACTCGCTTCATCACAGAGTCTTTGGTAGCAGCATCCGTCCTCTCCAATTCTCGGACGCCCGCTCAACAAATTACCGCCTCCCACGCCAGATTTTGACTGGTGAGTCCTCCATTGTCCCACCTACCCTTTCTGTGGACAGCTCGCTCCTCCTTGCTTCCTGTTCTCTTCCCTGAAACCATGTGTCTTCTGCTGTGTTGTTGGTATTGTTCACCGGGTGCCCTGTTCACTGCAGAATATGAGACCACCCGACCTAGTGTTTACCCCTTTTTTGCTCTGATCAATTATCACAAGTGCTGCCTGTCGTCCATCTCCGCCTTTCTGCCATGGTCATTATACCCATCCGGATCGTTCTGGGTGATACGCTGACAGTCTGTGCACAAACTAGATCTCGCAGATCCGACATTTTCATCCACGACACGAGTCCGTTCAGTGCTTCAAAGAAATAGTGAGCCTTCCTGTGGTGACAGAACTGAGCGTCCACGCATTGCGGATCTTGCAACCCCCCTGCGTTCTAGTACCACGGATGAGCGCTAATTCAATCTTTGGACAGACCGTCTCGCCATGTCTTATCAGACATCTGCCATGGACCCCAAGCATGCGGCCACCTATCATGGCGGCGGCGGCCACGGCCACCAGTACAGCGAGAACATCGCTAGTGATCCCGTTCACAACGCCATCAGCCAGTTCCAGAACATGACTCTTGGCCATCCCGCCATGGGCCAGATGAATACCGGAATGCCGTACATGGTACCTCAGACCCAGGAAGGCCCTTACATGCTGGCTCACATTGCTGCTGGACACATTGGCCTTGACCACCTCGGACACCCCAATCCTTACGGACATGCCGGTGCCTATCACATTGCCCCCGTCGGCGGCTCTTATGCTCCTTACCCCATGATGCCTTTCACACCTGGTCGTGCTGCTGCTCTCCAGGACCGCACCAATCGTGCTGGCCACAGCGAGGCCCCTGGACTCGAGAATCGACGTGGTTCCTACTCCACCAACGAGTCCACTCCTGCTACGCCCTTCTACCAGACCATGGCTAAGCATGATCACGGTCCTCGGGTCGCCGTTCATGACCGGTCGACATACACGACCCCTTCGCCCCAGCAGCTTGGACCTATCAATGTATTCCCTGACCCTGCAGTGAAGCAGAACGTCATTGCCATCCCCGTTGACCGCAACCTGGATGAACTTCTCCGCCAGGACCCTCCGATTCCCAAGGCTGTCCCAGCTGTCTTCACCCCCGCTGCGCAGATGAAGTCGCTCGACCAAAGTCTGGAGAACCGCATTCCCGGCAATCGCAATGTCTACATTCGTGGTCTACATCCCACCACCGATGACGAGCTGCTCTTCCATTATGCTGCTCGCTTCGGAGAGGTTGAAACCTCCAAGGCGATCATAGACACTTCAACTGGTGCCTGCAAGGGGTAAGTATTGTGCGTGTTTTACAGAGCATTCATTTGACACCTGTACAGCTTTGGCTTTGCCAAATTCTATGACGCCCGGGATTCCGAAGTGTGCATTCGTGGCTTCCATCGCCTTGGATACGAGGTCGGCTTTGCGCGTGTAAGCTATCCACTCCTCCTTTATGGTTATTTTGTGTCTGATGACTATCTTTAGGAGTCGTTCAACTCTCGTCTTAAGGCAGAGGGCGATGAGGGATCGACCAACCTCTACATCTCAAATCTCCCTAAGAGCCTGACAGAAGTCGTAAGTCATATTGAATCAGCTCGTGGTGACACTTCCCTTTCCGCTCACACAATGACAGGAGCTGGGTGCCATTTTCATGGGTTACACCATCTTGTCCAGCAAGATCTTGCGCGACAGCATGGGCAACAGCCGCGGTGTTGGCTTCGCTCGGTATGGTAGCCTGCACTTTTTGGTCCACAAATACATCTGACACTGATCGCAGTTTTGAATCACGCGATGTTTGCGACGAGGTTATCAAGGAGTATAATGGCATCGGCGTCGGCGACGAGGGTCTTTTGATGAACATTCGCTACGCCGATACTCCCTCGCAGAAGGAGCTGAAGCGTGTGACTGCTGAGCGCCGCCAATTCCGTACCAATGAGTACAACATCGGTGCCTACGGCACTCCTCTCGTTGGAATGCAGCCCAACATGTATAATCAGCCTGCATGGAAGCGCTCCATCCCTACCTCGTCTACTGCGTGGGTTAATTTCCTCTCTGCATCTGTCAATTAGTGATGCTAATCTCGTCAAACAGGACCTCGGCCCATCGTAGCCTTCAAGGCATGGATCGCAGCACAGATCGTGATGTCTCGTCATCCGGCTCTAAGAACCATGATGCTGGCAGTGTTCAGGGACATGGACAGGCCCAGTACAGCTCCCGTCATAGACATTTGAGCATGCTTTGAATGCTGACAAGCTGCCGTAGGTCTGCCGCCGAGGCCACCCTGGTCGCGATCGCCTCCTCCGAGGATGGCAACGAGCTCGCCACGACGCCTGCCAAATCCAAGACGATTGTCAACAGCACGCAGTCATCTCCAGCCGTCAAAAGATCGTGAGTAAGTTGCATCAAAGTGTTTTTGTGGGAGTATATGAAGCATTGTGGGCTGTGAAATGCCTGGTGTGTGGACATGAACTAGCGGTTAACAGCTTTTGCTCTGTTGGAGGGCGAGCCCTGGCGTCGCGGATAATTGGCAGTATCATTGTGATCACGGAACATGTTTTTGTTCTGAGATAGTTGATAGTCTTGAGGCATTGTGCTTACTTGGGGCATGTTCGCCCCGCCTGTACTTTAGCGTTTCCTGGCCAGACAAGCCAAGGCAGAAGAGACACTAATATCGTCATCCTCGTTCCCAGTTCCGTAGATAGTTTTGGTAGGCGACGGTTGCGTTGAAGTCCATTACTCTGGACCTAAAGAAAAAATATAAGGCCTCGATGTCATTGATCTGGCAGGAAGGCGAAACGTAGCCATGTTATTATTCTTTGAGCCATCGGCTGCCATGTGGTTGGTCCCGTGGATCGCTTCACACGGAATGACGACTGGAATGGGGTTCCCCTCAGTTGCGTAGCGTCTGTAAGGATGACCATGCCCTGAGAAGCTGTGCTTGATGCGGACTGTCTGATGAGGGGTATGGTGTGCTTGTATTTGAAGGGTATGTATGCTTCGGCGGCTCAGTTCGCAACTTGGCAACACAGGACTCAACCAAGAGAAGAGACCAGCGAGAAGCCGACGCCATTTAAATCTCGTTGCTGAATCAGTTGATATATTGGGCTGGTTCCCCTGGCAGCAGACATGCTGGGGGAGGATGCTATGTGCGGGTGGTACGTGTTTTGAAAAGGGGGGATATCAAGCAATCAGACGAATACTATAGCAAAATAAGATGTTAGCAGATGCCACCTCCCTGGCGCTCGGGTCATGCGGGCATCCATCGTCGGTCCCCCTTTCACATGACTCTGCGGGCCGCGTCCCTTTTTCCACCGCCCTTGATGCCATCCTTTCGTCTCCGGCGGTCCTCCCTCTCTTTTCCCGCTCCACCTTTGTCAAGATCGTACCGAGGCCGTTTCTTCGTCTATCCCTTCTCTTGGAGGGGAGGAAAGAAGTTGAGCAGTTTCTCTTGTTGATCCCCAAACAAAAAGAAGGCAGATTACATGCGGCGGATCTCCTGCTCGTTCATGTACGGCTCGAGGCCGGCGTCGAGGTGCGCCCACCACTCGAACAGCATGGTCTCGCAGATGAGCTTGAACCAGGGGGTGAAGACGAGCTTGGGGTCCTGGAAGAGGGCCTTGAGCTCGTCGGGCGAGACGTACTGCGTGGCCTGGACCTCGTTCTTGTTGACGTCGAGGGTGACGTTGGCCTTGATGAAGAGGATGTAGTCGACTTGGGTGCCTGTCAGCCGTCGCTCTCTAGCAAACACAACAGGAGGGGGAGGGGGGGGGGGAGAAGGCAGACAGAAGGGAAGAAGAGGAAGGGGTACATACTCTCGTGCTCACCCCACTTGCCGTCGCTGGGCGCCTTGTAGTGGATGCGGGTCAGGAAGCGGAAGAGCTCGGTGGGCACCTGCTCGATCGGGATGCCGAGCTCGTGCTCGAGCTTGCGCTGGGCGGCGCGCTTGACGCCGGCGACGGCGTCGGCGAGGGCGACGCCGCCCTCGCCGGGGATGCCCAGCGGGTGCGAGCAGCACGTGTTGGTCCACATGTCGGGGAAGGTGATCTTCTCCGAGGCGCGCTGCTGCAGCAGCAGGCGGTTCTGGTCGTCGAAGAGGAAGACGGAGAAGGCGCGGTGCAGGAGGCCCTTGTCGATGTTGGTCATGAGGTGGCCTGGGTGTTCGAGTGCAGCGGTTAGCCAGAGCTGTCACGCGATGGGTGTGTGTGTGTGTGTGTATGCAAGGAGGACGGGGGGACGGGGGCGGAGGCGCATTACAGGCTTTCTTGCTGGCGTTGCCGATGGGCTTGTCGTTCTCGTCGAGGACGATGCAGACCTCGTCCATGAGGCGGATCTGCTCCTCATCGTGGCCGGAGAGGGCCTCGGTGCTCGTGTCAATGTCGGGGAACAGGCGCAGGATGGACTCGGCGGTGATGGGGTCCGCAGACGTCGTGGTCGTGGTCGTGGCCGTGGTGGTCGACATGGCTGCTTGCTTCGGGGCAGAGCCGGTAGGCGTTCTAGACGAAAAGTGCAGAGAGAGGCGAGGAGGAGGGAAAGAAACACGCAATCGGCGAACAGCAGGTGGGTGGGCGAGCTTGTTATGCGCCTACGGTGAGGAAGTTCGTGGGGTTCGCTTTTTATCGAAAGGGGAGAATCACCAAGCAACGTCGAATAAGGTACAGCCCAGGAGGAGGGGTCGAACCGTCCAGTGCTGGCCCCCGCGTTCAATGGCCCGCCGCCGCCCCCAATTTTCCGTTTTTCAGCGCCGCGGACCCCTGACGGTACCTTATCGCACTAGCTGCCCCTCTCGACGTTTGACCCGATAAGAACCGAAGACGGGCATCGGTAAGTGTACAGAAATCAGTGTAGTCTCCATGTAACTCTGGTCGAGCAAAATGACGAACATCAAGGGGGGAAAGAGTCAAGATCTTCAATCCAATTGCTATGTCCAACAATGTTTGATGCTCATTTGTACCGCTACGGGATCGCGTGACACAAGAGGAGTGAAACATGCACACATGACCATGCCAGATTCTTTTCCGTCACAAGGTGCCATCACCCAGCGGCGTTGCGCCTCTCGGCCTCCCGCGCAGCCCTGTGCCAGTCGGTGAGGTAGACAAACGTGTACTCAATCACAGACACACTAGAATTTGCAATTAGCCTTGGTCATCTCATCATCATGCGTCCCGGAAAAAGAGGTGCACTCACAGCAGCAGTCCGATGGTGACGCCGAACCACAGGCCAGACAGCTTCCAGCCGAGCCCAAAGGCCGTGCCCAGCGACACGGGCAGCGCGATGAGGTAGTAGACGGAGATGCCGGCGTAGCCTCCGATGGAGGGGCGCCCGATGCCGCGCAGCAGGCCGTGGGCGCCGGTGCTGAGGCCGTCGAAGACCATCATGGCGGCGCAGATGGGCAGCACGGCGGCGACAATCTCAATGACCTCGTCGTCGTCGGTGAAGAGCAGCGGCAGGTGGTAGCGCAGGGAGCTGAAGAGGATGAAGTTGAAGACGCCCGAGGTGAGGGCGGCTATGGTGGCGACGCGGCCCGTCGTCTTGGCGGCGTCGACGAGGCCGGCGCCGATGAGGTTGGCGATGCGGGTCGAGGCGGCAATGGAGATGGGGAAGGGGATCTGGTAGCTGATGGCCGTCAGGGTGACGAGCACGCTCTGGGCGGCGAGGTAGCTGGCGCCGAAGCGGCTCGAGAAGAGCGTCAGGACCTCGAAGGCCATGTACTCGGCCTGGATCATGATCATGCCCGGCAGCGCGAGCCACAGCATGGCGCCCCAGTTGCTGAAGGCGCGGCGGCTGAAGCCGCCCCAGCACTGGCGGCCGTCGACGAAGCGGACGTAGAGCAGCAGGCACAGCGGCAGCAGGTTCTGGGTGATGGTCGAGGCGATGGGCGCGCCGATGTAGCCGAGCTCCATGTGCCAGACGAGGAACCAGTTGATGAAGACGTTGAAGGGCGCGACGACGAGGAGGACCCAGGTCGTCGCCTGGAAGAGGCCCTGCGCCTGCACGAAGCGCTTGCCGCCCTCGAAGCAGACAAAGGCGGGGCCGCCGAAGATGAGGACGCGCAGATACTGGCCCACGAGGCGCGCCGACTCGGGCTCGGGGATCATGAGGGCCAGCACGGCGTCCGAGTGGTACCACAGCACGGCGACGGGGAGGAAGGAGAGCAGCAGGAAGAAGATCATGCGCTGCAGCTGCAGGCCGACGAGGTGGCGGTGGCCGGAGCCGTAGGCCTGGGCGCAGAGCGTGTCGAGCGAGGTGGCGAGGCCCTGGAAGGGCGCGTAGCAGGTGATGGTCGCCGTCATGGTGGCGAGGCTGACGGCGCCGAGCTCGAGGCGGCCGATGCGGCCGACGGTGAAGATGGACACGACGTTGATCGAGTACTGCAGCATAAAGGTACCGACCAGGGGCAGAGCGTAGGAGATGATGGTCTTGGCCTCGCGCTGCCACGTCGTGCGTAGGGTGCCCGAAGCGACAGCCGCCTCCCATTGTTCTGTCAGGTTCTCGGGGCCGTCGGCGGCGGCGGCGGCGGCATGTGCGCTGCTGCTGGCCGCTGCAGCTGGCGTGTCGGCGCCGACGAGCAGGGACGTCGCCTCGTCCGGCGTCTCTTCGTCGTCCTGCGTCTGCCGGGGCACCTTTGTGCTGAAGAGGCGGCGGTACGCCCTGCGATAGAAGGGCTCGTCTGGGCCCCGCGGCCTCTTGGGCGGCAGCACATGGTTGTCCCGCAACAGGCTCCTCTCGGCGTCACGGCTCTGCTTCTTCTCGACACGTGTGAGAAATGGGGTGCTTTCGGGGTTGGTCTGCGGATTCATGACGGGCCTCGATGTGCCATAGGCGACGCCGCTGGGTCGACGGTACAGCGTTGGCCCTTCGTCAGCGGACAAGTCGCTGTCCGAGTCGATGGCATTGTCCATGGCGTCGTCGTCCTCGGAGAGCTCGGCCAGATCGCGTGCGACAATATCCTCGGCGCGCGGCGTGCCGATCCAGGATCCTCCGCCAGTCCATGATGAGGAAAAGGGATGTTCACGGCTCGAGGCCTTGGGCGGTATGGGACGGCCATCGGCCATGGCTATGGCTGTCGAGGGGTCCGGATGAAGAGACAAAATGACGTGAGCTGAACGCGGTGAGGTCCAAGGTTCGCGAGAGGGCGCACGTGAAAGACCGAGAGAGAAAAGAGGAGGCTGTCCAAGGTTCAGTTGTCAAGAGAGAGCATCATCGATGGTGGAGGCCGGCGACGCAAAAGCAAAGCAGCGTGACTCAAAGTTGAGACGCCAGACGGGAAGAGCAAGATGAAGAGGCCCCTGATAGAATGATCAGGTGTGAAGTCACGTCAACGAGTAAGATGAGAAGGAGGTCGGACAAGGTGCATTGAGTCAATGGATCTCGGGGACAGCACCCCACGGGTGGTCCACCAGGCCATGCAGCTAGAGAGTCGGATGTGAGCGACGATGTCGATGTTGGGTTTAGCTTCAGCCTGGGTCTGCACTGGGTCTGCACTGGACCAGGACTGGACCAGGGCCTGGCACCGTTCGGCGGGGCGTTGGACGGCCCGTGACTAACGGCCCACCGTTTCTAACGTCCTTCTGTAGTGGGCCCGTCAGGTTCAATTGCAGTGAAGGCACTGCGTCAAAGGAGCCTCGACTTATTTCATCAACAGACGACACTGGAGGCCAGTGATCAGTCCCGCACCGATGCCCCAGATAGATCCTCACTTGTTCGAGTACCGCACCGAGTGAGAAGAGTCTCTCTATCTCTGACTGAAACGAAACCCAAAGCCCGTCTCACGCCTTTCTTTTTGTCGACCCCCTTGCTCCCTGCAGCGACAGCATCGCTCCTCGCATATGCGTGTGAGAGACTGTCATCGTCTTTGGCTCAAGCCTGTGGTTGATTTCTTCCCAGACTCTTCTTCCCAGACTCTTCTTCCCAGACTCTTCTTCCCAGACTCTTCATCCCAGACTCTGGCCAGTATCTGTCGTGGTGATCACACAGGACGTCGCAAAACGACTTCAACGCCACTCTGGCGATGCAACATACTGTGCAAGACGTGGCATCAGGTAGGACGCCGACCTCTTTCGCCACCTCTCAGCCAACCGAATCTGCTACTCAGCTTCTGCCCGTATAACTTGCGTGACCTCTATCTTCTACCACTGCCTGATACGTTCCTTATAGTACTCCACCCCAAATTCAGGAATATAGGCCCTGAAGACATGTCATCTCAATTGCAGTGGACCTCGACTTCACCAAGGGAGGTTAGCCACTGTCAACACCCCGCTTCCTGTCTACGCTTCATGTTCGTTGCGTTAGGTACTACAGTCAAACGCAGAACATGTCGTATTAGGAAACGTGCGAATGGATTATGATGCGAATGGATTAGGGATGGATGATCAACTTGTGTCACAGCTACGACCAAGATGCCCACCATCGGCAGCACATAGATGATCCCCCACCCCTTCCACCCCAAAAAGGGGTCAGACGCAGCCAATATGAAGGAGAGGCGTTGCCCACGTCCGGCCTCAAGCCTTCTGTTGCTCCAAAGTCCTCTCCGTGCCGCCTTATCCTCACCGTCCAACTCTCCCCAGAGCTCTACGCCAGCATTACCTGCCTGGGACGGTCGGCCCGGCGCATACCGAGGAACTGTGAAGCCGTCAGCATGCCGACAGTTTCCCGCTGCAGCGCTGACTGGCGGCGATGACTGGCAGGACATACTGGTGTCATGCGCCGCGGCAAGTCGCCGGTCCGACGCACGTACAGGCCGTAGCCTACCGCCGCTGTTGTTCCAGTTCGGCAACTCTGTCCTGGAGACTGGCCAGCGTCCTCTCGATATCCCTCCGCTCCTGGCAGCCAAACGTGGGGATGTCGCACGCTTCGGGCTTGTCTTCGAAGAGGTCAAGGTCGAGCTGTCAATCCTCTACTGCGCCGGGTCGAGGTGTCGCTAGCGCAGTGCCGACGTACGACAGGAGAACGGCAGCGGCAGTCTTCATCTTGGGTGCTTGGGAGGCGGACTTGATGTTTTGTGTGTTAGAAGGGCGATGGAGATGATGGATAGAGGGATGCCAACAGCATGCTCGACCGGCAGACTTGACACTGTTGATCGAGCTTCCAATGCCTGAGCAAACTGCCCGGGCGGCATGTCTTGCAAGATGGAGTCGTTCACATACCCGGCCGCCATGCTCGCGACACAGACAGAAAGACGCTGGATCATCATAACGTTTTAGAGAGCGACTGGCTGGGCTAGAGTATCGCAGCCAGGGCTGTCCACACAGGGCTTTCTTTCATGCCACAGGATAGGCCGAACGGGCATTGCAAGCAACGGACGACGCAGCATCATCACGACTGTCAGCCTCAATGAACGTCTATCATGGTCAATTGCCCTCGGTGCGGCTCTCTGTGTGAGGCGCAACCCGTCACAATTACATGTATTATACAGCATGTCGCGCCAGGGGACCCGCAAGATGCCCCGGCCCCTTTGTCTCCCGCCAAAAACCAAACCGAATCATTCATCCAGCCGCCCTTCTCCCCTTGCACAAGCCAGCTACTATTTGGCGCCCTCCCAGTCGGGGTTCTGTTTGTCCGGATTAGCGATTGTTTCTCTTGCTTGTTCAAGGTCCAAGACCCGGGGCTGTGCTTACCTTCTTGAGAATGACGAGACCCTCCAGCGTGCTGTTCAGGCTGATGTACTCCTCGTCTTCAAGCTCCGCCCGCTCACCGTACGCCAGCACGACGGGCGTGCTCTGCGTCTGCCAGCCCGTGATGGTCTTGGGACGGCCGGCCTGGCCAACAACATCCACGGCCTGGCCGACGCGGACGTTGACCTTGAGAGGCTTGAGGTCCTCGCCCAGCGTGACCAGGAACCTGGGGTGCATGGCTGTCACCAGGAAGTAGAGCAGGTAGTGCGAGTCTGACGTGATGAATGACTTGGCATCAATCATGGCCACGAGCACCGCCAGGATACCACCAGCCGACACGCGTGAGAGCACCTGCCTGTCGGTGTGGAAGGGGTTGACTGACATGGTACCCTTGCCCATGTGCAAGAGGCCCTGTGCGATGCGCACCATGAAGAGAGACTCCTGGTCGCGGTGGTAGAAGCTGGCGAGCTGTCGCAGGAGCTGCGCCAGTCTCGCGTTGTTCGTGCCCGCACCCAAAAGACCCATGGCGAAGATGGCATTGATCGCAACGTCGCTGTCATTGTCGTGGCTGTATCGTGAGAGGGTGTCGTAAATCTTCATTTGCGGGTTGCTCGGGCTGATGAGACCCAGCGCCAGGGGCACCGCGCGCCTGATGTTCGGCTCGCCGTAGTGCATCAGGTGTCCGAAGTGTCGCAGGACCATCTCCTGGCCGACATCCTCGCCCATGGCCACAAGCGCGATACCCAGAACAGCGTACGCTTGCGTGAGCTCATCACCCTTCTTCTCTTCGGCCTCCTCCATGTGCTCGTTGCAGATGTGCAGCAGCTCCTGGATCTTGAGGACGGCACCCGTACCAGCCCAGGCGCAAATCTCGGCCAGGACAGCGGTAGGCTTGGACATGGGATGGTCGACAGCCTTGAGAGTCTCCAGGATGACATCCACCTCCTCCTGGCGGCCGAAGAAGAGCAGGCCCAGGCCAAGGGCCATGAATCTGGTCCACTTGGAGGTGAGCTGGTCCCTGCGCTCATCATCCAGCATAGTGGTGACGATCGCCTCGCTGACCTCGGGGTTGGAAGAGCCAACAAAGATCAGACCGCAAGACAGCGCGGCCATGGCAGAAATGCGCATCTCGACGGAGGAGTCGGTGATGATGGGAAGAAGAATCTCGAGCAGGTCCTCCTTATTGGAACCTGCGTAGGACAGACCAAGACCCATGAGGCAGGCGGTGGTGACCAGAGGGTTCGTATCCGGGTTCCTCAGCTTATCATTGTCGCCAAGGAGGGCCAGAGCAGGCTCGCTGTCCAGGCGCACACCGGTGTTCGTAATGCCGATGGCCAGCATGGCGCCGGCCATGATCTCGGGCTCTTGCGCGTAGGTGTACTTGTCAATCTTGTCGAGCGCATTCTCAACATCCCACTGAAGAAGAGTGCCCAACGAGGCAACCGTCGACATCATGCCGTCGCCCTTGGTCTTCCAGACCCAGCTCTCCTTGTCTTCCTCCACGAGCATCATCTTGTCGTTTCCGAAGCCAGCGTTGACGAAGCCGTTTACAAAGGCTGCTGCAAGGTTGTGTCGTGCAGAGTCGAGGTTCGTCATGCCGGCAACGCGGCTGCTCTCGAGGTGGCTCTTGTAGATGTCCTCTGTCGTCTTGGGCTCGAGAATGTTGAGCTCCTTACCGAGGGACTTGAAGTGCTCCGACAACTTAATGTTCGTGAGCGAGTCCTGAAGCTCCTGGTCATCGCCCACAATCTCGTCAGGAAGCTCGAGCATGATGCGCTGGCGCGCGACCAAGAAACCGAGCTGCTTCTTCAGTGCAGGGTCCTGCGCCTTGTCGAAATCGGCCTTGATGAGATCAATATCGTTCAGTCGAATGGCCAGCACCATGGCCTGCGTGTACTGCTTGTACGTGATGTAGATATCGTGGGCCGTCTTGAGGAAGAGCTCGTTGTCTGGGTACGTGAGGAGGTTGACCATGCTGACCATGTACAGGCACACGCGGGCATACGTGTTCTCGTCGACATAGTTGGGCAGCTGCTCGATAATCTCGAGCTCGCTCATGAGATCGACGGCATCGGCCTCTCCGTTACTTTGCAAGAACGTGGGCACGAGAATGAGGGCGAGATCGACCAGATCCTTCGTGTCCTCATCTGCGACTATGCGCTTCCCGTAGACCTCTCCGATCTCAAGAGCCAGGTGGCGCGAGTACTCGTGGCCCCATGAAATAATGTCTGACGATGGCGCGAGAAGTCGGTACTTCAGGGTGTCCTGTCTCTCTTCGTCTGAGAAGGTCATGCCGATCACGGAGAGGACATCGGCGAGAGACGTCTTGTCGTCACCCTCTGGCCAGTCTTCTTGGAGCTTCGTCAAAGTCTCGTAGTGCGGTCGCAGGAACTTCAATGGTTTTGGTACGGCGGTCATTGAAGAAGTTGAAGTCTTGATAGATGTCTTCATGGCCTCGAGAGCCGGTTTGTAGAGGGATGCATCGGATTCCTAGCCATCTCGTTAGTGCGTGCGGGCTACGCTGATGAACAAGAGGTGGCTAGTGACATACAGTCAGGCGCTCAACCAGCATCTCAAGCTCGTTCTTCAGTTGCTGGTCCTCCTCACTGAGCTCCTCTGCCGCTGCACACAGGTCAGTCAGCCAACGCCGGCGCGGTCTCGTCACCGACTATCTTTGAGCTCTTACAGTCGATGATCTTGCCATCCTCCTTCTTGCCGTTCGCAACAGTCTTGTCGCTCTTGGGTTCGTCAACGGCCTTGCCCTTGCCCTTGTCGGCAGCCGTGGGCTTCTCAGGATCCGGGGCCATGATGTTCGACTCTTGCGGTGGTTGTAGGGCGGGCAGGGATCGAACGAGGGGGCGCAGTTGCGTAACAAGACTAGGTGCGAGAACTTTCCGAGCGCCGAGTCGCTCTGTTCAAGTCTGCTGGTCCGGGGGTATACGATGGTAGTGACGTGAGTGTTCGTGTGAAGGCGAGCAAAGTGAGGAATGACGGTGGACGGTGATGATGGAAGGCAATGGAGCTTTCTCAAGCTCCGTAACAACAGCTACTGCGTTACGCGAGCCTTGCCGCCTGCCATCGCTGGACCGTGCATTGGCAGGGAGCTGGAGAGTCGAAGTCACGTGGATTTAGTCAGCACAGAAGGAGTACCCACCCACCCCTCAGCAGGACCTGGATGGGTGCGCTTATCGATACCAGCCTGAACCCCCACCAACTTTTTTGTGACGCTCTGTGAGAGATCTCGTTGATGAGATTGCAGATCGTTATTCATCAATCTATATAGGCATCGAGCCAAATTATATTGGAAATTCGAACGCGTTCAGGCCACGCATCATGAAGCTCGATACCAAGGCACTGCGGTATCTTGCATCCGAGGACTGGAACGTCCTCGCTGCTGTTCGTCCCCATGCCCCAGTCCCCCTCCTTGCCATCTCGTTCTGCCCAACTGACAGGAACTGCAGGTTGAGCGTGGGAGCCGAGACCACGAGCTGGTGCCGACATCACTGATTGAGAAGTATGCTCGCGTAAAGGGCGGTGTCAACGGCGTTCACAGGTCCATCTCGGCCCTCGCCAAAGTTGGTCTCATAGCGCGTGTCAAGGAGGCCAAGTATGACGGATACCGCTTCACATACGGCGGCTTCGACTACCTTGCCCTTCACGACCTCTCAAAACGCAAGGAGATCTACAGCGTGGGAAGCCGCGTCGGCGTAGGAAAGGAGAGCGACATTACGATGGTGGCAGACCACGAGGGCGTTCAGAAGATTCTCAAGATTCATCGCCTTGGACGCATCTCGTTCAGGTCCGTCAAGACAAACCGAGACTACCTCAAGAACCGCCAGTCGGGATCATGGCAATACCTGTCGCGACTGGCCGCCATGAAGGAGTTTGCGTTCATGAAGGTCCTCCGCGAAGAAGGGTTTCCGATCCCGGAGCCTATTGCGCAGTCAAGGCACACGGTTCTCATGGAGTTTGTCGACTCGACGCTGATGCGTCAAATCTCGGCGGTGCCCGACCCTGCGACGCTGTATGGCGACTTGATCGACCTCATCCTTCGATTCGCCAAGCACGGTCTCATTCACGGCGACTTCAACGAATTCAACCTCCTCATCAAGGAAGTGTCTTCCGTCGAGTTCACCGAGGCTGGCGAGGAGAAGGAGACGATCACCCTGGTGCCCATTGTCATTGACTTCCCGCAGATGGTCTCCATGGACCACGTCAACGCCGAGATGTACTTTGACCGCGATGTCAACTGCATCAAGCGCTTCTTCGAACGCAAGTTCGACTTTGTCAGCACAACGCCGGGGCCGTTCTTCAAGGATGCGAAGAAGACGCTGGGGAGGGACGGCGTGCGGCGATTGGACGCCGCTGCCGAAGCGTCCGGCTTCACGAAGAAGATGGCCAAGGATCTCGAAAAGGCGATTCGTGAGCAGGAGACGCTCAAGGAACAGAATGGAGGCCAAGACGATGAGGGCGATGACGACGATGACGACGACGAAGATGGCGACGAAGACGAGGAGCAGGAGGGTTTTGGCAGCGAAGAGACGGAAGGCACAGCGACAGACGCAGCCGGCAACACACTCGAGCAAGACCGGACACCAGAGACCGAAGAGGTCGACACGCAGAGGTTATCGAAGCTGGCGATTGCAGACGGTACGTAGGCCACGTCGGGCACCCCCCAAAAAAAATGAAAAGCAAAAGTGACGAGTTCCACGCATCAACCCTGTTCGCCCCGGTGAACAACCCTGACCAAGGTGAAGAGTAAGACATCCGCATCGCCACTCATCACCCGTCCGCCTCATCCTTCCTCGTCCCTGTTCCATCTGCATATGCAGCCCGAGGGCCGTCTGTTTGGCTCAACAATTGCGGATCCAGGCGTGACGGCATCGCCTGACTTCATGCATGCGATATGCTGCCACAAACGTCGGTGGTTCGTCCGCAGCCTTCCCCAACGCCGCTGGCGAGGCGCCTCGCACATTGGCGTCTGCGGACCCCCAACTTCGATTCCGGAGAGCATCAGTGCCACCTTCGCCCTTGGGGGGGATCGGGTTGACAAAGCTCGGACAGATGGAGCGTTCTTTGAACTACCACCTGGTGGACGCTGCCGAACGTTCAGCCTAGAGGAATGATTCTGAGCGCACAACCATGTGCTGCTCTGCCAGCGAGGCTACGGGACGGTACATCCGCGGCCTCGTCCCGTTGGCGGGACACTCGCGCACGTCCAGCTCGACGCCTCACTCTGCACATCTCTCCAGGCATGGGCTGCTACATCACACATATCCCACGGTGCCGCCTGCAGTGTCATGCTCGTCAGCCATGTCTCCCAGCCTGTCAGATCCCAGGGTCTCTGTCTCTCCGATCCATCCTGCGGAAAGGGATCGCAGGGGTGACCCGTCAATGGTCATGTTTCACCCGTCCTTGTTCCCCTCTCCGCCGCCTCGTGACACACGACCCTCAAGTACATAATGGATTGGTTAGGCTCGGTCATCTTGCTTTCCTTTTACTTCTTACCACCTGAGCATCTTCACGTCTGGATCCAAGAATCGTATAGACCATCGAGTGCTCCTCGCGGGCCTCCTCCATCTGCACGCTTCAGTTGTGACATCAACGACAGGATACACGTACCGACTGAGGGATCTCACGATAGTTCATTCCATCACACAGCGGCTTCCACCAACACCACCATCTCTACGTCATCGTCAGATCCGCCTGGACGAGCCACCAGTCCCGCCGGCCACCGCTCCACCACACATCGCACATAGCCACCGCCGAGGGCCTCAAAGCCTTGATGTCGGTTGAACTCCGCACAAGCCTGAACTGCCTGCGCCACCCATCCAGGTTCATGCCTGTCTCGAGAACGCAACTCTCGAGAGTCCATACAGGCGACAGTATACAGAATTTACCCAGTGAGACGACAGCCCCATCCGTACTGCCGTGCCTCTCCGTGCCGAAATGCTGACCATGGTGTCTCGCTCCATCGTGAAGACGCAAGCCTCCTAACCGCCTAAGCCGCCACCATCATGGAGACCCCCCTGAGCAAGTCCAGCCTCGCGACCCTCGTCGCCGAGCCGCGCCCCTCGCTCGTGCCCCCGCGCTGGGCGGACACGGTGCGCGCCGTCACCGTCGCCGAGAGCAAGCAGGCCGGCCTGTCGCTGGCGCACTCGTTCGCGTCCGACGCGTCGAGCCGCTACCTCCTCGACGTCGACGACATGGCGGCCCGCTCGGCCGAGCACAAGTGGAAGCTCCACGTCGACATGATGACGTACACCACGACGGCGCACGCCCTCGACGGCCTCGTCACGACCATTGGGCCGGACCACGACGCCGTCGCACTGTGGTGGGTAACGCCCCCCCCCCCGGCTGTGTGTGCTGGACACAAAGCGGCGGAAGGAAGAGAAGCTGACCAAGAAGACAGGGTCCCGCCCGGCAAGGACACGGACGGCTGGCTCAACCTCTTCCGCTCGGGCCTCTGGCGGCTCGCCTACCGGCTGACGCCCGAGGCGCGGAGGCGGTACAACGACGACTTCCTCCCGCTGCTGCACGACGCCAAGGCCGAGGTCATGGGCGCGCGGGACGCCGAGTGTTACTACCTCGTGTACATCGGCACCAAGCCGAACGCGCGCAAGAGGGGGTACGCGGGCAAGCTGCTCGACGACATGATTGCGCGGGTGAGTTTTCTGGCGTTTCCTCGTCAGGCGAGCCGAAAGGCAGGTGGCGGACGTTTGACTGACAGCGCGCGCAGGCCGACGCCGAGGGCCGTCCCATGTATCTCGAGTCGAGCTCGCCGGACAACAATGCCTACTACGCCAAGTTTGGCTTTGAATTCAAGAAGGACATTTACCTCCAGGGCAGCGGTGCGCCTGTGCCGCTTTCCATCATGGTGCGGGAGCCGCAGCTGGTGAAGCAGAAGCCGGTATACGCTGCCGTCAAGGTCCAGATGAATCGCCTGCGCTAGGTGTTCCGGCTGCTTTCCGTTTCGTTTGATGTTTTGATCTGTCTTTTATTCATTGTGCCTCTGGATCGGTGTGTCTGCTGCGCGGTCTCTTGTCACATTCGTTCCTGTTGCTGTGCATGGCATTGGATTTGGCACCGTCATTACTGCAGAACACTTGTTGCTGGAACAGCTCGGTTGGTCATTAGTCTAGACTCGGCCGGTTCAAGGCCTTTCATTCATTCAGGTCATATCGAATGCTATCGCCTCGTGCTCAAAACAAAAACATGATCAAAAATTGTGATCCATACCTTGTCCACGCTGCAGGCATTCCCACCGTGCAAAGGTCACCCGACCGCCACCCGCTCAATACTCGAGAATGGCCCACGTCTCGTCGTCGATGGTGGTATACACGAGCCCCTGGCCGAGTAGCTCGTCGGCGGCGCCGAGGACGTCGCGCATGCTCATGCCGGCGCCGCTCGCAATGACATTCATGTGCACGCCCTCGTTGCCGCCGGGCGCGTTGACGAGGAAGTTGTACATCTTCTGGCCCATGGGCGTGCACTGGGCGACCTTGCTCGACTGGCCGGTGGCGTGTGATGCGTTGTTATTATTGCTGGCGTTGTTGCCGTGGCTGCCGCCGTCAACAAACATGCCGTCGCCGTTGTCCTCGGCCTTGGCACCGCCGAGAGGCCCCTTGGTGAAGAAGAGGTGGACGTAGGTGCTCTCGAGCAGGTGGTAGTTGACCTCGTTGAAGTCGGTGACGGCGCGCAGAAAGTGGGCGCCGACGTGCCTCTTGCCGTTGAAGGACTTGATACGCCCCCAGACGCGGACGTAGGCGTCGAGGTCGACGCCGGAGCCGGAGCCGGGGGCGCCGGCGACGCCGTCCATGAGGTCGTCGTCCTTCTTGTCCGTGTCGACCCACTTCTTGACCTCGAGGGTAGCGGTGCCGTCGTCGAGCTTGTAGGTGATGTTGGTGGCCTGAGGGTTGATGGCGCGGACCTGGCCGACGAAGGTGACCTGGGTGACGGTGGCGCCGTCAATCTTGAAGTCGGCGCCGGGGTAGGCCTCTTCGGCGTCGAGGATCTGCTTGATGGTGACGGGGCGCAGCGACTCGTCCTGGTAGCCCTGTACGTCCGTTGGCTTTGTGAGCTGGGTGCAACAGAGAGCGAGGGGGAAACGTGGAGGGGAGACAGTACCTTGCCGCCGCCCTGGCTGCCCTGCTGGGAGCCGCCGTACATGAAGCCGCCCGAGTCATCACCGCCCTGGGCGCCGTACGCGGGTTTTTGGTAGCCTCCGTAGGATGCTGTGCGGGATTAGAGGGGAGGTTTCGTCGAGGGGGGGGTGGGGGTTGGGGGCTGCATACTCATGGCGGCGGTTGTGTGGTTTGGTGTGTTGTTGGGGGGGGAGGGGACAAGGAGAGCAGCAGGACGAGGTGGAAAAGAGGAGGGATCGAGAGACGCGTCTCGAGGCTGCTGAGACGCGACTGCCTTAATTGAATTTTGCCCCTCACTGGTGGCAGGCAGGGGCGCCTGGCGTGCGTCTTTCCTTTGGCACTGAAGAATCCCAGCTGGCAGCAGCTGGCAGCTGATCAGTTGGTAGCAGCTGGTCACCCAATGGCCATACACGACAACGACTCCTGCATCTCGTACCCTGCCACATAGACGCTCCCCTATTTCATCGTAGACCAGCGCCGAGAGAACTACCCAAAGAACTACCTAATGAACTACCTAAAGAACTACCTAAAGAACTACCTAAAGAACTACCTAAAGAACTACCTAAAGAACTACCTAAAGAATTACCTAAAGAACTACCCAAAGAAAGCCACCTGCCCCGCGCCGCTGGGCTCGATGTCGTGCAGGTCGCGGCGCACAAACGGCGCGAGCTGCTCCTCGAGCAGCGCCGCCGTCTGCCAGCCCGCGTGCCCGTCAAACACGGCCCAGGCCATGAGGCGCGACGACGGGTCGGCCGCCCACGGCGAGGGGAACGCGCCGTGGAGGAAGCCGTCTTTGCAGGGGCCGTGGGAGGCGAGCTGCGTGCCGTCGTACCGCGTGAGCCCGGGCATGGTGCTGACGGGAACCGAATAGGGCACCTCGTGATAGCAGGCGGCTGACTTGGTCTCTCGACGGGCCGCGCTCGTCGACGAGGTGTTCAGACGGCGGGCTCTCGAGACGAGGCACCTCGTCCCTGGCGGCCGAGAACCACCAGAGACGCCCGCCGCGCCGGCCAGCCCACCGAGCGCGATGGAACAGTTCGCCGCATTCCCCTTTGCAGACGATGCCGAGGGTCTGCTCGATGAGTGTGAGGGCCTTGCGTTTCCAGGCGGTCGTGAGACTGGTGTGTGGGCAAGGCGAAGGCGCCCCAGCCAGACACGCGAGCGCACGCGTGACGAGAACATGTCCAGAGCGGGTCGTCCTGTCCAGATGTCGTATAATTGCAATCGTGAACAAGTCAAAGACGAATCTGCCGCCAGGTAGAGGAAAAGAGTCTGTAGCATGACGTGAAGCAGAGGGGGGAGAAAGGAGGTCACGGTGAGGGTGAGGCTGTGTCATGGCTGCCAGCTGGCAGTCCCGTGCCGCCAGCTCTTGACGTTCCCACCCTGGAGCGTCCTCCTGTACATCTGGCAAAGGCCAAGAATGGCGAGGAGTTCCTGAATCAGAGTTCTAGTCGGAAGACTGGAGAAGATAGAAATATCCTGAGGCGCGAGCTCAGGTCATGCGGGCACCAGTGTATACTGCAGCGAAGCATCATCCACAAAGTGGCACAAGGTCATGCACTTCCTCTTCCAGCACACTCTCAGGCTCAGCATCATGGACACAAACTCGAATCTCGATGCAAATCTATTAAGTATATCGTCATCTTCTAATCTGCTTCATGTACGGTAGAGTACGAGGCATGTACAAGCGTAAAATCAGAGTCGACACGGCTAGCTCCCCCCGCTTAGGTCGTGCACGTCTTGGCCCCCTTGCTGGTCTTGGTCACCCAGCTCGTCACGGTCGACTTGACCTGCGACGTCTTCGTCTTGGTGACCGTCGCGCGGTTCGTGATGGTGCCCGAAGGCTTGACCGTTGAGCGGACCGTGGCCCAGCTCGTGGCCGTCGACGCCGGCAGTATGACAGTGTTAGTCTGCGCCGAGTTTTCGCGCACCGTCACCGTCGCCGTCTGGCGTGGCAGGACGACGGTGGTATGACGCGTCTGGGTGCGGACCACGTTCTGGATCGCGGCAGGCAGCGTCGTCGTCGATTGCACCGTCACGGTGCGAGTCGACTGCACGACGACCGACACGGTAGCCGGCTTCAGAGTCGACGTCTTGCCAGCCGACACGACAGCTGTGGCCGTCGTTGTCTCGGTGCGACCGGGAAGCGTCGTCGTCGTGGCGCGCGTCTGCACCGTCACGATCGTCTGGGTGGCCGTCACAGGCTTCAGCGTGACAGGCTTGCCAACAGTCTTGGTCGTGATGAGCTCGGTCGTCGAGGTGCTGCCTGGCAGCGTGACAGTGGCCGTCTTGACGTAGGTGCTGAGCGTGGACAGGACGGTCACGGTGACGGTCACGTCACCCAGGGCGCGGACCTCGACGTAGGCAACCTCGGGGTCGCTTTCGTAGTCGTCAAAGACGTCGTCGCGCTTGGAGAAATCCTCAAACTCAAACAGGTCGCGCTTCGTCGGCGCCTTGGTCGGGATGCATTTGATCGTCGTCGTCTTCTTGGCCGTCGAGACAACAGTCTTGAACACAGTCGTCGAGACGGTCAAGGCCTTGGCAGTCACGGTGGTGACGCTGCCGTCGCCAATGACAATCGTCGACGTCGACTTGACCGTGACGGGCTTGGGCGTCGTCGTCTTGGTGAAGAAGGCCGTCGAGCGAATGACCTGCGTGGCGGTGACGCCCTTGGGGGTGCTAGTCGCCGTGCTGGTGGTCAGCGAGGTGGAGGTGATGGTCCTGGGCTCGGCAGCCTTGGTGACGATGATCGTGTTGGTCGACGTGGCGAGCGAGGTCGACGTCTGCGTGACAGGATTGGGTGTGACGGTCGTTCCGACATTGACCGTGATGGTGGCCTTGCGGACAACCGTGGTGTCTGGCTCCTGGACAGTGGCCACATCAACCTCGGTAGAGCGGATCAAAGTCGTCTTGGTTTCGGCGGCAGGCGTGATGGTGGTGGCGGCATCGACTGTCGCGGTCGTCTTGAGCGTCACCGTCGTGTCAAGAGCCTGGACAGTAGTGATTGACGTCTCCTTCAGGGTCGACAGCTTGGTGGTGAAGACAGTCACAGTCGTGGCGGGAACGGAGCTCGTTGTCGATGTCGACGTCGTCACCGTTGTTGTGGCAGACGTCGTGGCACTGGTCGTAGCAGTGGGCAGCACGACGGCGCCAGCCTTGAATGGCGTGGCTGAAACCAACGTCATGTTGATCCACGAAATTCCAGCCGGGAAGAAGGTCGCCAGCTCGAACTGGGCCGCATCAGCAGCCGTGAGCTTGGTGGCAAAAGCAGCACGGGCGCTCAGATCAGAGCCGGGACCGTCGTTGGCGAACTCGCCAAAGAGGGCCCCAGCCGTGCGCGGATCAGTCTTGGTCCACTGATCCCAGCCGTTGGCTTCGATGCACGAGTCGAGGAAGCTGTCGATGTAGGCCACGCGAGCGTCGGCGTTCCAGGGCCTGCCGAGCGAGACGGAAGTGTACTTGGCTCCCTTGGCAGGCGTCACAGTGCACTGGTCGAACACGAAGCCGGCGGGGGTTGTGTTGGTGGCGCGCTTGCTGGCCGTCAGGGCGACGCCGTCGCGGTTCGGTGCGATGGTGCTGGCGAGGAAGTACGCGGCGCCACTGCCCCAGATCATGTCAATGTTGCCCTCAATGTAGGAGTGCGATGCAAAGAGGAAACCGTTGATGAGCAGGGCGTCCTGGTTGCCGTAGACCTGGCAGCCGTACAGCGAAGCGTACTTGCTGCTCTTGACACCAAAGCCGAGCGAGGCATAGCTGGAAACCATGTGTTAGTCAGAGCGCAGAAAAAAGAATGCTTGTGCCTGTGTTCAACTCACTTGGATGCGGTGCCAAAGGTGTTGGCAAAGTTTATGTTGACAGCCTGCAGGTAGTTGCCAGTGGCGTAAACAGTGGCAGAGTCCGAGTTGGAGGCGTCAGCCTGCGTGTCGATGCCCTTGTCGAAGCTGATGGTGACTTGGTTCTGAGAGTAGTCACCAGAGTTCGAGCTGTAGCCGATGAGAATGGTGGTACCAGCCCGCGCGAGGATCAGCTGCTCATTGTACGTGCCAGGGTAGATGAAGACGGTGGGCGTGATCTGCTTCGAGGTCGGTAGGGCGTTGAGGGCCGCCTGAATGGTGTCGTACGTGGTCTGACCATCGACAGGCGTCTTGGAGACGATGAAGGCGCCGGCAGGAGGCTTGGTGCCGTCATAGACAGTGGGGATTACAGGTGTCACGGGTACCACGGCGGGCTGCGGCGTCTGGATCTGGTCCCAGTAGGTCAGATCAATCCAGTCAGTGCTGGACATGACCTTGCTGAGGGGGTAGTCATCGGCGGTGAGCAGGGAGGCGCCCCGGAACGTCGCACGAGCGGCAGCGTTGTTCTCCCAGCTGCCCGGGCCGGCGTTGTTGTACTCGGCAAACGTGATCGAGTCGTTGCGAGGGTCAGTGTTGGACCAGATCTTCCAACCAGCGGGCTGGATAACGTCGGAGAGGAAACTGTTCTTGACGACGACAAGCGCAAACTTGGAGTAGGGCCGGCCGAGGTACACCTGGCCCTTGAGATCGACGGTAGCGGTCGGGGCCTCGGTGAAGAGACACTGATCAAAAATGTAACCGCCAATGGCAGTCAGACTCGCACGGCTTTGAGCGGTGATGGCGGACTTGGCTCGCTTCGCGGCAATCGTGCAGCCCTTGAAGTAGGCCTTGGAGTAGCCCCAGATGAAGTCGATGGCACCGTCAATGTAGCAGCTCTCGTAGTACTGGTTGCCAGCCGTTGCGCCCGTCAGGAGGGTGTCCTGCCAGCCAACAAATGAGCAACCGTAGAAGCCAATCTTGTCGCCGTAGACGCTGGCAGCCAGGGAGACGTAGCTGGGAATCGCGCCGTCTAGGTTCTCCGTGTTGACGAGGTTGATGTTGTACCAGGAGATCTTGGAGCTCGCCGTGGCAATGGTTGCCGTCTCGGCGTTGCTGTGACCGGCAGGCGGTGGGGACACGGACAGACCGCGGGCCTGGGTGATGGTGACCTGGTTGTTCTTGTAGCTCTTGCCAGGGGCATCACTCGTGTATCCAATAATCATGACAGGTCCCGGGCGGTTGATGCTAGGCACCTGCTCCGTGTAGGTACCCGGATAGAGGAAGATAATCTGGTTCGACGAATCCGATGGCAAGCTAGCCAGGGCAGCTGTCAGGCTGTTGAAGGATTTCGCGGTGCTACCATCAGCGCGGCGGGTGACGGCGCTAGGGGCGCCCACGATGACGGCACCAGCCGGAGGCTCGGTGCCGCTCGTCGGGTGCGTGATCACGACGGGGGTGGTGGGCTCGGGAACCGGCACTTCGGCGGCTCCGACTGAAGTGAGGCTGTAGCTGGGGACATAGGCAAACGCCTTGGCATCCAGCCAGCTCGTGCTGCCAATGAAGGTCTCAAGCTTGTACTGGGAAGCCTGTGCCTCGGTGAGCTTGGTGGCAAAGGTGGCGCGAGAGTCGGTCCAGTTGCCAGGTCCAACGTTGTTGAACTCGCCAAAGAGAACATTGTCGGTCTGGGGGTTGCTCGTTTGCCAGACGCTCCAGCCTGCAGGGGAAATATGCTTGTCCAGGAAGGAGTTCATGTACACCGTGACGGCATACTGCGACCAAGGACGACCCAGAGCAACAGTACCGAAGCTGGTACCGTAGCTTTCGGTGTAGGTGATGACGGACTTGTCAAAGACGAAGCCGCCAGCCCACGCGGCATTGGGTCTGTTCTGGGCAGTAATGTACGTCCTCGGGGTGTTGGAGGCGACGTAGCATTGGTGGAAGTACGCCTTGCTGTAACCCCAAATAAAGTCAACACTGCCCTCAATGTAGCTGTTGCTAAAGACCTGAACACCCTGGTTGACGAGAAGAGTGTCCTGGAAACCATCGAAAGCACATCCATACGCCGCCATGTTGGTGCCGAAGAAGTCACCGGCCAACGCCGCTGTGCTCGACTGCTGAGGGTACGTGTTGGTGAAGTTGATGTTGTACAGGGCCAAGCCATCACCGTTGGTGTTCTTCCAGTTGAGAACGGGTGTCTCCTCGTTGCGTCCCGCGCTCGTGGACACACCACGGCTGAATTTGATGTGGACGGCGTTCTGGGTGAAGTCATTCTCGAAAGAAGTCTCGCCACGGAGCGTGACCTTACCACGGCGCGTAACGCTGACCTGCTCCTCGTACGATCCGGCCTTGATGAAGATAGTGTACTCCTTGCCATCCGCAGGGAGGGCAGCCACGGCAGACGCGACAGTGGCATACTCACCAGTAGCGGGAGTGGGCGCAACGGTCAGGGTGTTGGAGGCAGCCGAGGTGGTAGTGGTGGTCGGAGCGACGCTGCTGGCGCCCGTCGGGGTGCTCGTCGTCGTCGTCGTCGCAGACGTCGTCGTCACGACAGTCACGGCATAGACCGAGTCTGGCCAAGCTTGCTGGGGAGCAATGGCAGGAGCATCGAGCCAGGCGTCGTCGCCGAGAACCTTCTTGACGGTGTAGGCGGAGTTGTCAGCGAGCAGCTTCACAACAGAAGCACGACCAGTGGTACCAGCTCCAGGACCCGTGTTGTTGGCCTCCGCGAAGGTGCCAATGAACGTGCTGGGAGCTCCGATCCTCCAGCCCACGGGGTAAATGTGGGCATCAAGGTACGAGTTGACAACAGCCACCTGGGCGTTGGTGCTGTAGTCCCTGCCGAGATAGGTGCCCTGCTGAGGCACGGTCTTGTCCTTGGGAACAATGGCGCAGCCATCGAAGACGATCTGGGAGCCGCCAAAGGAGTTCTGGTACCGGTTCGCCGCGATGGTCGAGCCCGTGTTGGTTGAGTCCCTGGACACGATGATCGAGTTGTAGAAGTAGCCGGCGCCAATGCCCCAGATGAAATCTGTGGTGCCCTCAATGCGACCACCGCTGAAAAAGACGTTACCGTAGTCAAGGTACAGCGAGCCCTGGGTGGACTTGACGTTGCAGCCGTAAAAGGCGACCTTGGTGCCCTTGGAGTAGGCAGCGACCGCGATGTTGTTGGTCTGCTGAGCGTATGTGTTCTCAAAGTTGATGTTGTAGAAGGTCACAAACTTGGCCTCGTACTTGTTGGCGGAAAATGTGGCCGTGCCAGCAGAGCCGCCTGCGCTGGAGAGAACGCCGGCCGCGTTTTGGATGGTGACCTTGTTGGACGACGAGGACAGAGCGTTGTCGGTCTCGCCGCGAAGGACGGTGGCGCCGGTGCGGGTCAGCGTGACCTTCTCATTGTACGTGCCGGCCAGAATGTAAATGTACTGCGTCGTCGTGTCGGCGGGCAGCGCGGCAACAGCAGCAGCAAGGCTGTTGAACGTGGCACATGATGAGCCAACGGGGCCGACAATCAGAGCAGTCGAGGGGACGGATGAGGGTGCGCAGGCAGCAACTGTGGTAGAGACGGCAGATGATGTGTCGATAGTGCTCGCAGCAGCTGTCGATGTGGGGTCGACGGACGCGGCCGACGTAGTCGTAGCCGCAGCCGTGGCATCAGACGAAACCTTGTTGACACTGGCGGCACCAGGCGAGGGAGGGAGTTCTACACTAGCAGCGACGGACGATGCAACGTTGACGCTGGGGGCGACGGACGATGCAATGCTGACGCTGGGGGCAGCAGACGAGGCAGAGTTGACGCTGGCAACGGACGAGGCAATGTTGACGCTGGCAACGGACGAGGCAATGTTGACGCTGGCAATGGACGAGGCAATGCTGACGCTAGCAGCAACAGACGAAGCAGCAGCCGACGCCGTCGTCGTGGAAGTGGTCGTCGTCGTAGGGGCAACAGAAGTAGTCGTCGTCGTAGGGGCAACAGAAGTAGTCGTCGTCGTGGCAGCAGCAGTCGTCGTCGTGGCGGATCCAGAGGAGCCCCTCTGGATCGAGCGCAAGACGGCGGCATCCACCCAGTCGACGTCGGTGACGGCAACACTGGGATACAAGCCCGTGTAGAAGGCGGAAAGCTCATAGGGCGCAAGCTTGCCGACGTCGGTGGCGAGCGTGATGTAGGCGGCGCGGGCGGCGGCCTTGTTCGCGTAGCTGCCGGCGCCGGTGGTGCCGTACTCGATGTAGGTGTTGCGGGCGTCCTGGGTGGTAGCGTCGACGTAGACGCCCGAGTTGGCGACGAAGCCGGCGATGGACGTCTCGCGCCAGATGACGGCGACGCCGACACCGTTGGCGGCCGCCATGAAGACATTCTTGTTCGTGGTGCCGGCCTTCTGGATGATCTGGCACGTGTCAAAGACGACGTTTGCGTTGTACAGCTTGCCCGAGGCGGTGTCGGTGAAGCCCTTGTTGTAGACGATGAGGGCATTGTTGTTGGTGGCCGTGATGGTGGAGCCGTAGACGTAGAAGCTGCCGAAGGACGAGAAGATCTTGTCGGCGGCCTGGATGTACGAGTTGGCAATGAGTCCAGAGGCATGGCTGCCGGTGAATCCAACGCTGCCCGCGGCGGTGAGCTGGCACGAGTAAAAGGCGTGCTTGGAACCGCGCAGGAAGGCAATGCCGGCGGTGGACGCGGCATTGGCGTTGGCAATGTTGACGTTCTTCCAGGTGACGCCCTTGGAGGTGCTCGTCAGGAAGTTGATGGGCGGGGTCGTACCGGCGGCACCGTTGGTGATGGTGACGAGATTGTCCGAGTACGTCTTGCCCGTGGCGGCCGTCTCACCGACGATGGTCACGGCGGCGGTGGCCTGGATGGCGATGGCCTCGGTGTACGTGCCGGCCAAGACGGTGACGGTAGGGACAGCATTGGCCTGGGCGTAGGAGATGGCCGAGTTGATGTTGGTGAACTGACCGGATCCATCCGAGGCGACGGTGACGGCTGGAGACGTATTAGCAGTGGTGGTGGTGGTGGTGGTGGTGGTGGTGCCGCTGCCAGCGCCGGTGCTGCTGCTGCTGCTGCTGCTGCTGCCACTCGAAGTGCTGGGCGAGAGGCTGGTCGAGGAAGTGACAGAAGAAGAGACGACTGATACAGAAGAAGCGGTCGACACAGGAGAGGCCAACGCAGAGAAAGTAGGCGCAACAGACGCAGGAGATACAGCAGCAGCATGCGCCAGAGCAGAAAAATGAGCGAGGGCTGCGGCAGAAGCAGAAGCAGAAGCAGAAGCAGAAGCAGAAGCAGAAGCAGAAGCAGAAG